TCACCCCAAACAATTAAAGAAAATCACTCAGGAATCCAATGGAGGAAGAAAATAAAGGTAAGGTCGTTTCTTTGCCAAGTACTTCTCATGCTGAACCTTCTTCTTCTTCTTCTGATTTTCCTAATAAATATCCGAAACCCTTTGAATACCCAATAACTTACAGTAATGAAATTCCTGCTCCTCTTCCGTTAGAACTTCCCTCTCATGCTTCGATTGAAAAATTCATGAAAATTAAAGCCTCGGTTCAAATGAAAAATGAAACTTTTAAAACAATTAAAGAAAAGTTCGAAGGAATGATTCGTGAAAAGATTTATTTGAATCTTTATCAAGATGAATCAATTTATTCTATTCCTCTACCAAAGATACCTAAAGGTATTTCAAGAAATTCAATCACCCATGAGAATTTAGACACCTTCATCGATGAAGTTCGTTGCTACTTTTGCGAACAAATCGCTCTCACTCCCCTCGAATGCAATTTCTGCAATCATTGGTATTGCACTAGATGTATCATGTTCATCCAAAATTTAATTGCAACCCTTAAACTATCACCTCCAAATCATCCAACCAAATTCATCTGTCTATTCCCCAATTGTCTTAAGAATTTCGCATCATTAGATGATTACCCTACTTATGGATTCGTTTGTTATTCTCAAACTTATGTTAATTATCGAAGTTGCAAATTCAATTGTCGTTACACTCTCTGTACTAGCCAGCTCAGTCCAAACTTATTCGAAGCCCATGAATCCCGATGCAGGTTAGGATTATTCAGAGAGGAAGTAGACCTCAACGCAATCCCTCTTTTTCATCAAGGCAACTCAGTCCAAGAACTTTCCTCCATCACTCCCAAGCGTCTAATTAGTTTCATTCCGCCACATGTTAAACTAGCCCCTCAGCCTAAAATCTCGTACTCAACTCATGAGTTTGATTTCGAAAAGAAATTCGAGTTGTACGCTTGTTTACTAGTAAACAAGGAAGAAAATCCAAATGACCCTCTCTTATCGGACACTAACATTCGTTCTCATGCGAATCTTAGATTAGGTTTTTGGGAAACTTTTAATAAAAGAAAAGACCCCACTCTTCCCCTATCCGAAAATGAAGAATTCGTCCGTTCAGTAGGCTTCCCTCCCGTTCTCTCTTATGCACCCGCTGCATCCCGACCTCGAACTACTTGGTCAACCAAGAAAAATCCAATCCCTCATTACCTTCTCACCGACTCAGAAGAATGGTTAAAGTTACGAGAAGGAAAGGCAAAACGCGATCTGCCTTGTTCACCCATCAGAACTTCCCCTGATGCTGGTCATCCAATCACTCCCTACACCACAATTGACCCTCTTTCTAGATTAACCCAGGAAGAGCAAAAAGAAATTAAAAATAAAATCAAAGAATGGTTTCCATCTCTTCGAGAATTGGTCACCTTCACCCAAGACTCTAATACATCCAACCCGCTCCGACTCGAGTACAGAGTCAACAGGAAAAATAAAGGCGTGATCTTCAATTCCTAGTGGAACAACAAGTTGAAGACCTTAACCCTGGTCAACAAGAACTTTGACCAAACAAATTCGTGACCACCCTGATCCATCCAACGTCTATTCCATTAATGCTGCCTACAAGAATCTACAGATTCAGTCCAGAAGGAGTTCGAAAACTCGTTCATCAGCCAGTATGGATCACAATAATTGACGGAAATTGTGAAACCGTTTATGAGACCTTCGTCCATTATAAAGACGTTCATTCCATGGATACTTATTATCATGGACTCAAAAAGGAAGACTTGAAATTTGCTAAGCATCTTTCCTCAGTTAGAGATCAAGTTCTCTGTTATCTCGCCTGTGCCCGAAGAATTATTGGTGCTGGTCTTATAACCCTCTTCAAAAGTCTTAACCTTACCCCCGACGAAATTGACATTCTTCGACCAAAGATGCGAGATGTCACTATTTACTCTCTCCCACAGAACTTCACCCGCTTCATTATCTCTCCTAGCCTTCATTCTCTTTTCAGGCTACACCATTAGAGCTCAACCTCATTCACCCGCCATCGAAGCTCTCACCGCCATGAGAATGTATATGTTTTTCTGGCAAGACATTGAAGAAAAAGTTCTGGAGACTGGACGTGGAATTCATAATGAATCCATTCAACATTATGTGAGAAACGATAAAGTTTCATATCTCCACCGAAAACTAAGTGATCTAGTCAAAGCTCGGAAAGCCCGTTGGCCAATCGATTGGAGTTATTTCCAACATCACCGAGAATCCCCTGAGTACTCAGAATTCACTTGCGTCTCTCCCGCTCCATCACCTCTTCCATCATCATCATCATCATCTTCATCATCAACTTCATCAATCGATGAACCAAAATCTCATTTCACCTTATTCAAAATCGTAGACCCTCCGAATCAACCAAGAAAAGAAAACAATCACCCCGTAGCCTATCAGCTCGGAAATGATAAGAAAATTTATTCATTGGTTTCAACCAAGGAAATGAAAAGCCCTTCACCCAAAATTCCCTCATCTTCATCGTCACCAACATCTCCACCTAATTCAGCCCTGGACAAGAACTTTATATTAGTTCTCATTTCTGATCCACCTTCAACCTTGGTTCTCTCAACAGCTCACAAGATCCAAGGAAAAATCCCACCAAGCCCGACTACTCCGACTTCTTCCATTACACACCCACCGGTTCATTACCTCCGTCCCCGAATCCATCACCACCAAATCAAAATAGGATTCCAAAGGAAACCCTGAAGAAGTATCTTCATCAAAGTGCTGGGGACTGAAGGGTAGAAAAACATGAAACCTCAGTCTTTCCTTTTCATCACTATTATGATTTGGAAACAATTTAAAACTTTTCTAATTTTAATTTCACTCAACAATTAGTTAATTGTTGTGCTTTCTTAATCTTTTCATTTAAAATTTCTATTGTTAAATTGGTTAACCCACTCCCATAACTATAGTTATAATTTCCTTAATTGTTAACCTCAACAAATCAAATTGATTAGAATCCTAATTAATTGATCTAAATAATTAAGAGATTATAATATCCCAACTTAATTAACCAATAATAATTAATCAAAATCTTAATCTATATCTCAAGATATAATTATAGATGGAATTAACACAATTAACTAATTTTCTTAATTATATTAACCTAAATCTTCATCTTAAGATGACCAAAATTGGTTACAAAAGTAAGAGACCTGATTTTCTTTCTCTATCTTTCTTTTACTTTCTTTTGTTTTTAGGAAGATGTATTGTTGCTACATGTTTATCTTTAGTTCATCTTTATCTTAACCATTTCGGTTAACCATATTTTTCATCATTGTCGAGACATAAGACAAAAAGTTACTTTGTAACAATTGTTTAACCTCATCACTAATGTGATTAATTTGGTTAATTTGATTTAATTGTGTTCCCCCAATTTAATTGTTACCCCTTCCTCATCATTAATTGATTCCCCTTTAAATTGTTACCCCCTTGTTCTTTATTCTAAAAAGAACTAATTTTTCCCTTTGTTCTTTAGTCGTTGTGATTTTCCCAACTATTCAAGTTGATCTTATTTTCTACAACGTACTCTAATTAAAATTTCAATTAAGTTCCATTCAACTCTTAACAGTTAATGTTTAATTGTTACCTTGAATTCTAAAGAATTATCGAGTTTAAATGCAAGTGCTTACATTGAGATCAATAGATCAGTAAGTAAGTGAAGTGACAATCCTAAAAGAATCTTGTATTCGGTAAATTTTGTGGGACCGAAAATCTTCTGTTTCCCTTCCAAGCCTAAAGACTTAATCTGAGTTTCATCTCAATCCATCCGAGTTTCATCTCAATCAATCTGAGTTTCGTCTCAATCTTAATCCATCGATCTAAGTGATCATCTAAACCTCATCATCTCAAATTTTCCCCCACAATAAATTTGTATTCCAATTCCGACAGAATAAGACAAACGTTAAAAGTAAAATTGATTACACAAAGATTTTCATCTACGTGATAATCATCCAAGTAAATTGAGTTAATTCTGAGTAAAATTCAAATCATGATACTTTGGTGCAATTACAAGCCTCTTTTTCAAACGGTCATTAATCCAACTCTAGGTCGTAATGGAAAATAGATTTTGTGGTAAACGGTAAGACCAAAGATCGGTAACCAAAAGCCAGAAAATCGGATCTATTATTAATACTATTCTATTGAAAATCATGTAAAGCAAGAGTAATATTCTGAAATTGCTGAGAAAACTTCATCCATTAACGATTTTAAGCATCCGAATATGGAAATGAATAACCAAGTTTACTCATTATCTCATTTGAATACACGAAAACTGAATGTATACTCACAGTGTGGTTGAAATTTTAGTTTGATAACATAGTTATGATGACTACATGATAATTTCAATGATTAATTTGCTTCAACTCACTGGAAAACATTGATAACATTTACGTTTGTTTAATGGTTGTTAACATGATAATTATCATGAGAAATCATTTCATGTAAAGTTAGTGAGTAAAACAAATGATGATGATGATGATGATAAAACTTATGAGAGAGAAACAAAATGACAACAACATTTAATGATGATAATGGATATAAACTAAGTTCTAGACAGAATTGAAACTACATGCTCATCAGAATTCATGATTAAATCAACTTTCATCATGATCTTCAATGTTTTAGTTTACTGACAGTTGATCACCATCAACAAAACCAATTGAATCTCATATTTGAAGAGAAATTTTTTTCCCTCTTCATTCAAATGAAGAAACTGAATTTCTTGGTAATCAAATTGATAAACTTGTTCAACAATTAAACTTCAACTTTAACATTCACCAAGAAATAGCATTTAATTCATGTTACCTGGTTTTTATCGTGGAGAAAAGTTAATTGAATCTGTAAGTCAGGGGAAAGAGACAATTATCAAAGTTCCTTGAGGGTATGTTCGGTTATTTTTGCAATTAAGAAGATGAACATCATAAGAGTGGGTAGAATATGAGGTTAAAGGTCAAGACTCACCTTCGCGTTTAACGTTTGCCAAGTTTCGATGGAAAACGTGAGAAAAATCGATAAGATAAGCGCCACGGGCCAATCCGAACAAAACGAAAACGATAACATTGATATGCGAGGCTCTAAGAAGCATTTTCATCTCTTTTTAACTTAATATGAATATCGAATCGATTGTATCAGAATCAATTTCGTTGGAGTTGATTGTAATATCGATGAGAGTGTGAGAGGGAGATATGGAAATAATATCGATGATAATTGATTGAGTGATTAACTTTTTATTTCTTCTTTCAGGTTCAATTAGCAAATTAAAGTTTCAATTTGTATTTAAAAATTTCAACTGACACAATAATTTCTTTGGGCACAGAAAATGATTATCTAGTTTATCCAGTTTCAATTTAATCCACAAGTTAATTAGGTGATAACGATGATGAGGATGAAGATGATGGTTGGTTACCTGGTAATGGGAAGAAGCACTGAGGATTCTGATCTTTTTTTGTGACCTTTTCTTTCTCGATTTTGTTAGGAGAGACGAGCGAGACGAAAAGTTGATCAGGACAAAAACAATCGAGAAAACGAACAAAAAACAAAAGTTTCGAACTGTAGATTTAGATTATGATAAAACTCCTTACAAATTTGGATTTACCTTCAGTTATGGATTGAGTTATCAACTTGTAACCGGATATAATGCTATTCAACATGCGCAACGAATACTCAATTCTTGGAGTTGCATCAGTTTCTCATCTGTTCTGGTTACATGGGAAGATTCAACCATCTCCTTCATTTCCACCAACGGATAGTGACATCTACATCTAAAGAATGCTATTAGATTATCGTAAATATTAGAAGATCAATAACTTTTTCTCCGAATTAGTATTTAAAATAGATTATCATTGGTTCATGATTGATTGTGTTTGGTGCTTCTCCTGGTCATTGATTGTCAATTATTAATCATTGGAATATTTTTATTCAGAAGGAATCATGATGTCAATGAGAATCATAATTTAATTATCTTTAATGAATAAAGATGTCACCATGATTAGAATTAAGCTTCTAAGGTAAATGTGATAAGGTAAAAGTCGCCGAATCCATTGGTGAATAATTCGTTGCGCATGAAAATGCTACATTCTAACGATGATGAAGAAAGAGAACTGATGAAATGTATATTTATCGTACAGGTTATCAGAATATACCTTGAATAATATATCAAGATTTTTCTCAGAATTGAAACTTGAGTTGTTTTAGTGAATAATATATATAGAAAATCATTTGAATAGAAGAAGAGAAAAGAAAAAAAGTTATAAATCGTCGAGTCGCCAGAGACTATCTACTCTTTTAAACGAAAAGTTTTATTTTTATTCTGTTGTTCCAAAAGTCATGATAACATTTCGACAGAAAAAATCAACGCTGGAAACTAATTGTTGGCTCATTTTCTTAATTGTTTGGATAGGAACTTCGATTTTATCAAAAGGTGTCGTCGATGCTTATGCATGGAGGAGACCGGGATGTCATCGATTAGGTGAGTGTTTCGTTTCATTTCAAGACCTTTGATTATCTAAAAGATTATCATGTCAATCTTTTTGTCGAAACTTTTTTTTTCTCATCGTCTATAAGGTCACACGAGACGAGTGACTGTTCATGGTTGCGTTGCACTTGACATAACCACGAATGCATGTCGAGGTTATTGTACTTCATTTTCGATTCCATCAACGGAAGACTCACTTTTAATTAATCGTCATCAGGTGATCACTTCGATAGGTGAATGTTGCAACATCATGGAAACGGAAGATGTAAGCAAAGTATTTTTATTCATCTCTTCAATTTATCGATTCATACTTTGAAATTATCTTGTTCAATTGAGTAAAAAAAGACATCAAAAGAAGATGAAAGTTCAATATATTTAAATTAAATTTTCTCCGATAAAATTGAGTGTGAAGTAGGTGAGAGATGAAGAAATGGTTTCCTTTTGAAAGGAATCATTTCCATAAATGAATAAATCTGAACAGAAAAATAAATGTTCAACTGAGAAAAACTTTCCATGAACATTATCACAATATATCATCTCAACTGTCAACTGACCATTTACCTAATAATATACTGACCAGTTACCATTTTTCAGTGGTAATGAACATGATGATTTATCAAATATTCAAGTGATGAACTTTATTCTGTTCATTTAGTTTTTTTATTACATTTCCATCCAGGGAATCAACAAGTTCCGTTATTAGCCCAGTTTTGTTCTGTTAAAAGTTTTTATTATTCACCATTAGAACTTTTTTCTGCTCTGAAATTCAATTTACATAAATCACCATCATGAGTGAAAAAGATTCAATGAGATTTTCATCACATTTATCACCATGGAAATATCTTAACATTATTTAGAAGAGAGAAGAAAAATTTCCAAAATTATTCTGATTGTTTAAAATTTGCCGAAATTCAACAAAAAATTTAAGATTTCAAGGTGATGAATTTACAGGTAAAGTTCATTAACTGTTCTGATTCTGAGAAATTTAAAAATAATCATATCGATAATATCAAGCTAATGATAGACCAGGATAATTATCGTCATTATTATAATCTTGTCAAAGCGAGTTGACAGGTTCGAGTGAAAAGTTGTTAGAACATTTTTTCGGTACAACAAACGTCATGATGATAAATCTTTCCAGCTAATATTTGCATTTGAAATTCTATTCTTTTCCCATGATGTTTGTATCGAATAAAATTTTCCCTTGAAATTGGAAATTAGTATTATCACAAATGAACAGAAGACTCGAAGGTAATAATTTGTCACTTCCTTTTTCCTAAAGAAAAAGTTTCCATTATGTATCAGCATTTGATGTTAGAACATTCCTATTCCTATAAGACTTAAAGCTTTATCGTATATACAATCAGAATTGTCTAAAGTTTAACAATCAAATGAAATTCTAACAAATTTTGATGAAACATTTTTCTCATCCAAAGTCAGCATTTTATTATGTAAAGAATAGAGAATAAATTTAATTAGATTAAACTGATAAACTAGATCGAAAATGTGTAAACTTTACCTAGTTTTTTTTACTAAATTGTTGATTCAGTTGAAATTATCAAAAACTTCATAAGAAAATCTAATTAACGGGAAGATAAACAACCGAATAGAAGTTTGAAAGTTTTAGTTGATCAAAAGCTAATTAGTATTAATACTTCGAGGTGGATACAAACGAGCAGAATAAGATGAAGTTATCGAAGAGTTAAAAGCCAATTTGGGTCATAACTCGAAAGAAGCTCTAAATTAGAACTTCTAATGGTTCTTTAGACTGAATAGAAGATATTAACATAGAGTCGATGTTTGTTCGATTATATTGAGAAACAATTATCGAGCACAGGCTGAAAACGAATAAAAAAATTTCCAAATGCTAAGTTCGTGAGTCGAAACACTTAAAGCTACAGGTTGAATGATGAAATAATAACTACACTAACCTAGATAAAAGGAGCTTCATGTTTCCGCTGGAATAATTTTCCCCATAATTCAACTCATCGATTCATCAAAATATAGAGAATTGCGTTTCTCTCCCATGGTAAATGTTTCATAACATTTCCCCTAGTGCCTTGATATATTGTTTCAATTTTCTTTCTCTCTCATCTTCATCTTCTTCTCAGTCAAAATGTTGAAACTTTTTGGGTTCACTTATTGTTGTCGAATTTTTTGTTCTAACTGTGAATCGAACAAAAAATTCTGTTGTAAAATCTTTCCAACTTTGCTTTTGTTTTCTATCAAAAGTATAAAAAAAAAACATAATTGAATTGATCGCATGCTACCTGAAGTTTAATCATTTTGTTCAATCGTTGAAAGTGTAAATTCAACAGGAAGGAAAAGATGAGAAGGTGATGATGAAAATTTGACAAAAGAAATCAAATCTTACACTCTGTTGAACATTCTGTTAATCAATCATATTGAACAAGAAATAAAATGCACAACTGTTGATACGTATTATCAGTTAACAGCAACGATAAATTAAATATCGAACCGATCAATTTTGAACATAACCAGCAAACTATTAGTTCAATGGATTAACTGAATAAACAATCAGTTAAAAATCCAATAAGTATAATTTTCTGATCGTATTGATTTTGCCCTCTTTTCTTCAATAGGTTGTGGCTCGAGTTTGGTGTCGAGATGGTATGAAAACGTTCACCTTTAAATCAGCTAAGAGCTGTGGGTGTTTCCATTGTAAGAAAGAGTGAATCTAATGTATAATTAAATTGTCTCATCATCATCATCATCAAAGAATTTAATCAAATCTTCATCTGCATCTTCATCATCAAGAGTATTTTCCCTTTGTTCAATGTTCATTGTTCTGTGTTAACTCTTGTATATCACTTTTCACCTTTCAACTTAACCTTCTCATCGAAACCATTGGATTGTAAGATTAGAATAAGAAAAATATAATCAACATAAATTCATCATCATCATCATGAGAATGAATTTTATTGTTTCCGATTCTATTCATCATCATCATCATCATCATCGTCATCTTTCGTGTCTAAATCGTTTCAATGAGCTGATTTTTCCAGTGATGTTTATCATTTTTATTCATTCTATCCTGAAACCTATTATCACAATCACCATGAAAAACTTCATTGTTAGTATTAAAGTAATCATGTTATTGTAATATTCATGTACTTCACGTTATATCATATTAACCAAGTTTACATTTTATCAACTCGTCTATTCATTATATATACTTTTTGTTTTCTCTTTCAATTTTCTTATTCACACTTTTCCATCATCAACACTTAACATTCATTTATCATGATAATCATGATGAAAACATTACAATTCAAATGATTGCATTTGTATGACTTTTATTTTTCCATCCCAACTCATATATACATATCAACACAATGAATAATTATATCATCATGTTAAACATGCTAAAAATAACTTCATCTTAACTATGTATCATGAATGTAATTAAAAAGATGATGAGCATCTACATTTCAATAGTATTTATTAAATGTTGGATCTTTTTGAACCTTCAATCTGAGGAAAATGTTTTTCGCTGGAAATACATGTATTAATAATAATAAAAGTTTTATCACTAATTAAAGTTGTCTCATTTTTTTATATCGTCTTTTGATTTAGAAAATATCAAATGAATGAAATAAGTAAAAGACAATACAGTGAGTTTCTGGTTAATTGTTTTAGTTCACCTTCAGTGTCACAGTGTCACTTTCTTTTCTTCGATTTCTCTAAAAATCATCTCTCTCTCTCTCTCTCTCTCTCTCTCTCTCTCTCTCTCTCTCTCTCTCTCTCTCTCTCTCTCTCTCTCTCTCTCTCTGCTGTAGTCCAGTGGTTAGCAACGAGGGTAAGCCTTTACATTGGCCTTACTAACTCTGTGGCTCCGCGTTTGACTTCTGACAGAGGCGAGTACTGATGCTATGATCCAGCATTGGGGAGAGAAGCCTCTGGCGTGGGATTAGGCCCCTAAGAATAGCCTCTCACCCCTACCCCCGGGACCTGTAGTTTAAACTATATACAGCCGATTGAGTACGTCGGCTAAAATAGTCGGGTAGGTGAATACGCGAAAGCGTGGAAGAAGCCGAGCTCCCCAACTAGTAGGGAAGCCCCGACGGCCGAAACAGCCATTGAAAAACAATTTCTCTCTTCCTCTCCCCTTCTGTCTTTTCCTCATCTTTTTACGATGATATTCAGTCTCAAACAATATTCACTTGGTATATGGGCAAGATACAAACCCGATTTTAAAGTTTCCTTATTCAAAATAAGCCACAAGAAAGGCAGTTATTCGATTCCTCGAAAACTGTCCGTTCAATTTTGAATCTAATGACGCCAATCGGTAGACAAAATGTGTAAATTTTGTTTGGCATGATTAAAAATATGACCACAAAACTCAAATTTCAACGATGGCCTTTCAAAGTCGGAAATGTGGTACATTTGGATGCAAAGAATTTCGCGGTAAATTTTTCCGGCCATTCAAAAGTTCAGATTTTATTGTGTAGATCTTGCTAATTTGCTTTTTGATCTGACATGTCGTTCAGGAGTAATTATTATTCAAAGATGCGAACTTGATTCATTGCCTCCCATGCAAAAAGTTTTGACTTTTTTGATCGTCATAAAATCAAGCCCTAGTAAATTTCCGATGTTCCGATTTCCGACGATCGAAAATTGAACGAACAGTTTTCAAGAAATCGGCTCTCAAAAGTGGAACTGGTTGGTTGTTACGCCCTGTATATGCTGATATTATTAAAGTATCATCTAAGATGGATGTCTGTTACATCGAGAATCACATTTACCATTAGTGTTTCGTTTTCTGGATACAATTCTAAAAGAGTATTCAGAAATTTCAGTGAAATACATGAATAACATGAATGTAATACTAATGATTCCTATGAAATGAATGCTACAGAATAAGTTTTCTTTTACTATCAACTGCTAACCATAGTAAGTATCTCACAATATAGTAATAATATTGGTATATTAATACATAAATAAGACTATTGATTACCAAACAAGAAATTATCTATCTTTCATAACAATAATAGCAATGTAACTTTAATTATGAATATTAATTAGATTGATTCTCAAAATAACAACTATTAATAATTAGTTTACTCTCTGATTGAGATAAAATCAAAACTCTTCTTGTAACTGTTATATCGTAATGATTGGGATAATCTTTATTATCATGATTCTAATTATGATACAGAATCAAAAATAGAGCAAAATGATTTAATTAACAATGAATTACAAGTAACGATTAATATACCGGTGGAAATGTTAATTGTTCAATGATTAACTTATTATTCCTGATGCATATTTTCATATAAATAAATTATCTAAATACGATTATCATTATTGCTCATGGTTCTTTGCTCATTAATTAATAGTAACCATCAAATTATTAGCAATTAGAAGATTCGTTGATAAATTAATTAACTGATTTTCAATCTTAAGTTTTTCTGTCCACTACAATCAAACAATTTGTTCAGCTCAATATCGTTGCCACCAAATTGTCCTTCAAATGTTTGGTGACTTTGACTGAGATAAGTTTCCAACTGAATTTATTTATTAATTATCATTCTATCTCCTGATCACATATAATAAGAATAAAGTTTTCTATTAGTTGAACTTGCAGTTTATTAATGGAAACGGAAATTTAATTATCTCATTTCCTGTATTCAGTTTTAATGATACTATTGACACTTATTATTATTATTATTATCATTATAAGTTTATTAAGGTTATAGACTCAATTTACTGTTTGAATTTAATATACAACGATTAACTCTTTAAATTGTAATAGATAATTAGTTTAATTGTCATAATGTTAGTTTACATTGAAAATATTGTTATCATTTTGCAAGTTGATTCAGAAAAAGTTAATAGTAATTCATTTTCAATCGTATCAAATATTTGTCCTATTAATTTGATCCTAATTATTACAGAGATTTTATCAATTACGATGATACAGTGTAGCTTTGATGATAATAATGATGAGGATGATGATGATGATGATAAAATAGTTATCTCATTACCACCCACTTGATCCCACAATCATTTAGTTTATATAAGGTTAAATTTGATTCCAACGTGAGATTTTAAATTGAATTAAACTTTACAATTTAGTTTGATTACGTTTCTAACTTGATTGAAATTTTCATGGTTTTATGGTTTCATGGTTTAGTAAATATTATTATGTCGATTATTATTAATGATAATAGCTAAAGGTTAATCATCAACATTATTATTATCAATACAAGACTTTAATTGTGTTTAGTTAATTTAAACATTCCAGATATTTAAACTGCAACATTTTCAATATCATTTCAATGGCTTTTCAAAAGTATTCAGAAATTCATTGATAATTCAAACTTACCGATTCTTAATCAATCAATCAGCATCAGCTAATTACTAACCTGTGCTTAAAATATAAATAATTACATAATAAATATAAAAAGAAGATCAAATTGGTCCAATGGACACAATTTAAATTCTCTAATCATCCTTATCAAATTCTGAAATTTCGGAAATTCTAATATTTTCCAATAAAAAGTTATCAATTTAAATAAACCAAGTCTCTTAATTTTATTATTATAATGCCAAAGTATTAATGATCTAATAATGATTCATAATCTTATTGATAATTTTTGATTGTTTCTCATTTGATACTTGGAATGATTTGAGATCACATGAAACCAATTAATTGAGCTTAATTATTACTTTAATCACGTTTAGTTGATAATTAATATGTATTAATTATCGAGTAGGTTATTATATCGAATGATAATAATTATCTATGTTAATTGAGATCTCATTGAGTTAACTTTTCTTTTTAAGGTGTGGTCACTAATCTTTTACATGTGAATCAGAATTTCAATTAGTATTGAGATAATTAATATCACGATTTTCTTAATGATGTTAATTAGTCTCAAATAATATTCATGAAGTTGATGTTCAAGATACGAAACCGATTGTAAAGTTTCCCGAATTTCTGATTGGTGAATGAGCTACAAGAAAAGTAGTTCGTCGATAAAGTTGACATGCTTATGATTAGTTTAAGATGAAAGTTCTGAGCAAAAAATATGAGAAAAGATTTTTTTTTTCTGCAAATGATTCACTTTATTGCGATTTGTGTGTATTTATATATTGATAATTTTAGTATTTAAGATGAAGATGCTCAAGTTTAATGGATGAATATCATGATGATAAAGGTTACAAAGGTTTAGCATGATGAAAGTAAACAGGGAGGAGAAACAAACAAGATACAATAAGAAGAGGAAATTAATATATTATATTTATAATCTCGATTGGTGTTAAAAACTATAACGATAATTGCACAAAATTTAAATACAATGTTTAAGTATCATGAGCATCGTTACAGTTGATTAGCAGAGGGAAAAATTTATTATTTATTGTTCATGATGATAATCAATTGGTGCTCATAATTTCAATATTTTTACTATTCAATTGCTTTATTATTTTCATTTGTATTTTCATTTGTGGTTCAGTCAATTACAATCGTATTCAATGTTATCAATGTTTTGTTACAATGTATTCTCATTTTGTATTTCACAAGTGACCAGAATTACTCAGTCTGATGGTGAGATTGATGATAAGGTGATGAAGTTTTTTTTCTCAATTGTTTCAAGTTAATTCTGAAAGTTTGAGCTCTCGAAAGCAGAATTGAAAATCTTCCAAATTTCCAATTTCATCTTCATCTTGAGATTTACCTTTACTTTCATATACTGATGGAGACTATGATGATGATTATGATTTCAATAATTGTGATGATGGTTTGATAAAAGATGTTCAAGTGAATAATTGTTTCTCTATCTGTTGATTATTTACCGTTGTTTGGAAACAAGCGAAGCAAAAAAAGTGTCTTTTCAATTACATCTCATTGATTGATGATCTTATCAAATACCTTCCGATGGCATCAACACCTTCACAACTAGCGATTGATGAATCACAACGTTGGCAACTACAACTAACTGCATCTACGTATTTGTAAACCTTTAAGGAATGATGAACTCCTCTATCACAATTGAGTAATAATGCGCTTCGAACCTGTCGTCGATTATGAATACAAAGTGGATGCCAGGATAATTTATAAGGGAATTTATAATCTGCAATCTGTGTTGGTGAAAAAAGAAAAAAAGAGAAAAAGAACGATTATTTTGAACCTTTTCGAACAGGTAATAACATGGAGAGAAAATGAATAAAATGTTACATAAAATTTTTCTCTTCTTATCGAATACTTAATGATCAAAAGTTCTGTTCAATTCATTTTTCTCTTGAATGAATAACCAATGAATAATTTATTCCCTTACTTATTCATTTTTACTACTTCTCTCTCTCTCTCTCAGCATTCATCATGTTTCACCATTTGAACATTTAATATCTATTTCAACGTGATAATAAATTGTCCCAACAAATCAAAAGGAATCAAATTTGTTTGTAAACAAAGTAAAAGATTGCAAGTCATTTCCTTTTCCTGTCTAAGAATTTTCCTCATCAATTGCATCTTAATGATAGTATTTTGTTGATATTTTCCTTACGATAAACTGATGATTGCTGATGAATTTATGAAGTTAATTATTCACCTGTTATTATCAGTCCATAATCTTATTCCAGAAAATATAAACACGGATTCATGAGCAATTTGATAATCTCGTAGGTGTTTAAATTCATTAAATGATTGATCTGAAGCTGAATTCAGGAGTAACTCAGAGGTTTACAATAAACTCATTTTCTTTCCCTGAGAAAAGTGTCATCAAAGTTCATCTATCATTCAAAATTTCATCTTCCTTTCCTCGAAGATTCATATTTCTTATTAAATCCATAGCAACTAATATTACATGAAGGTGTACAATTTGTTGATTACAATTGATTCGTGGAGATAATTGAGTCGAAATTGTTTCACACTCTGAATTGCAGGGCCTGAAATTTGAATCACTACAAAAGTATTCATACCCTGACATAAAAAAGATACACTGAATAATATCTGTTTCTCATCAGAATTTGAAAAATTTACTTGCATGAATCATTCATGATTCTTATGATAAACTGAATACCATAAATTTATCAAAATTCATCAAAATCTTATCAGATTAATGTTTCATTGTTTTCTCTTTAGGAATTCATCATGATAATATTTATCTCCTTCCATCATGATTACAGTTACATTTATGATTCATTTCAAATGTGTAAATAAACTTTTACCTGTCTCACTTTACTCTATCCATTCAATAACTGAATACTTTCTAGTTATTTAAACCAAAGCACAGAATTGATCATATTTAAGATTGACTTGATTTCCATGGTGATTTTGAAAGTTATTTAACTTATATTCACATCAAGCAACCAGCACCAAAAGTTATGAAACATGTACAAATTACTTAACTATTAATACTTATTCAGTCCCATGAACACCCAAAACTATCTCCTGGTCCACCAACATTTCTCACAAATTTATTATCACATTGATAATCTTATAATAAAATGGAAAAAAAGTTCCGAGACTATTCAAACAACCGTTCTTCATTATTTTCTTTGGCATTCTGGATAATATCCCAGTTATTCAATTCTTTTCTCGTATTCTCTGAGTTCAAGTATCAAAATAAAGAATGATTCTCTCTCAATTTCATCATCATTTTTTCATCTCTACTTTGTTTGTTGTTATCAAAGTATATATTTACTATCATCTAGAATATTGGATAATAATATGATAATAGTTTACATGATAGTTCCATGTGGTAAATATGCATGATGAGGTTAAAAAAAGTTACTATCATGTATTTCATCGTGGTAATAATGTAATACAATTTATTGATGAACTTTTTATACAAACATGATGATTAACTATTCGGTTGTGTGTTAATGCTGATGAAACACACAAATGATTAACAAATTATCATACTGATTATAATTCACAAATTTTTAATCAATGTTACATTGAGAGATAGTATATCTTAATTTAGATAGTGAAGATGATTATGGAGACACTTATAAGAGAGATAAAGATGAAGATGAAAAAATCAAAACAAAGGGGCATATCAAAATCTGCCCGTGCACAAAAAAAGTTTTTGGTGATTTTTTCTGACTCAACTTTTTATGCTAAATTCAAAAATGACATCGAATTTTCGCTATCGCTTTTACTTTTTAAGATATTTCCATTTTTTCATAGAACTGCTGCAAGTGCGATTGAAAGTGTTTCAGGCCTTAATGGTAGCCGCATAAGATGTCAAGTTGACTCAGATTTATTTTCTTATCATGAATAAATTGAAAACCTGAGCTGATTAGACCACGAAATGGACCGACTTAATGTTTGCATATTCTTGATAACTAGCTGCTATGAAGAAGGTCTTAAAGCAGTGAGATAAGATAAGAAATCGATTCAGTTTTTTTTGCTGATTAAGAATCTATCATGACAGCTGGTTAAAAAACCCGCAAAGTCAGTTAAGTAGATAGAATAGTCCTAGCAGTAAATATGCTACGCATTAATAAAAATCCATGCTTTAAACGCAGCGTGTCAAGTTTAGTTCAGAAAGTTTTACTTTGTCCAATTTTGGCGATGGGCAATTTTCCTATTCTTTTTGATGTCCTCCTTTGTAGTGAAAATGAGATTGTCTTGTGTTTCAACACAGGTCAAAGGTTAGAACTTGATGTGCAATCAATGTGAGATTCAGTTTCTGTGCAAGATTAAGACTGATGATTGATCTTGTAACAGGTTCGATTTAGAGATGAACAATTTAATGAACAATTTAACTTATATTTAAACTTTGAACAAAACTTTTATTATTGGTTAACTTTTATATAACTTTTAATTGTAGATTACATTTAAATTGTACAATTGGGGGGAAAAGAAAGAAAAAGAGAAAGAGAGAAAGAGAGAGAGAAAAGTAAACTTCTTCACTGAAGTTATCCTTTTCTATTCAAGATTTTAAGACTTAATGAATTTTTATTTTTTCATCAATTTCTTTTATATCAAATGGAGAAAGAGAAGGAAGGAGTAGAAAAGAAAGAGAAGGAGTGTCTTGATAAACTCGACCAGGTGGATAAACTTGTTTATCCACCTGGTACCGTCATCATCATTATTACCAGACCACTTTTCCCCCTCTCTCTCTCCCTTCTTCCTCACTCATTCATCTCTTTGTCCTCATCTTCATCCTCCATTTTCCTTTTTTTTGCCAGTTGGCGTTACGCTGAACTCTAATCTGGTTGCGTTTATAGTTATTTTGTCGAGTTTTGTTGTTTTGTTTTGATGAGATAATCTCATCATCATCAATTTAATTTTAATTGTTTCCTCAGAAAAAACCCAAAGTTGGAAAAAACAACTAATTATTTCTTTTTCCGGTAATAAACAATAAATTTTATCACAGATCTGAATCAAATTAACCTTGATGGTACTATTTCTTATTATGATCTATTGACTGACGACAGCTTTCGTATTATAAACTTTTCTATCTTAGAATATGAAATTGAGGCCATTTTTCTTTCGAAAAGTTCTCGTCTTGTCAGGTCACAGTCAAGAATTTATTTAAGTAAACTAAACTGACTCTAGCACATAGCAATAGTTCTATAGCTAAACTTGAGCTGTTTTTTGATAACTATTTTGCTTGACCTTCTACAGCGAGTGATTTGATTCTATGCGTTTAACTTTGGTCGCTTATAATTTTTGAACCAGATATCGGAGACCAAAAATGGGTGAATATCTCACAAACCTTAAGTTTTAGACACAAATTTGTAAAAGTTATAAGAAAGTAAATATAGAGATGAGTCCAAAAAAACTTAGCTTTTTTTCTAAGACGTAAGGAGCTGTTAAGAAAAAGCCTCTTCCAGCACATACACACACTCCAGCACATCAAACTCTGGAACAAATTAACACTCCAGATTAAAGTTTTCTCACCAATTCAGGAAACAATACCAACATTCGTTGACCATATATTCGAATATTTCAGGGTCAACTTTTCGGTGGCAAATTTAAATTTCATAAAATAAGTATAAAAGAGGATGAGCTGTACAGTAGTCAGCTCATTTGATACGATGTCGCTCACAAAAGATAACATGATTTTACGAATCATCATTTTCATAATTATAACAGTCATTTTACTACTAGTATTACGTGCAATATTTTTTGATAATATGTTGGGCCACCAAATGCTGGTTAACTTTCAGGTCGTTTCACAATTATTACAAATTTGCTACAGGCAAAATAAAAACTCAATTTAATCTTATTTAGATTTCGGTAACACCGTTACTGATCTTTAATTTTGTATAATTGAAGTCAATTACATGAAGATAATTGTTCGATATGATAACCGATAATTCTAAGTACTTTGTTGCTTTGTCTCTACAAACTTTGGTAACAGTTATCTATTTATTCATCTAATAGCATTACAAATATCAAGTCTGACCAAATAAATCTGGCCTAATTATTGTATTGATAATATAGTTTCAATATGGTCAATATGACCAATAGACATCAAAGTCGATAATGCAAATCAAAAGAAAAAGTCCAATGCTCAACGAAAGAAAAAGTTCAATGCTCAAGTTATACGAACTGAAAATGGTGTGCTGCTAGTTTTTGCATCAGGAAAAATCACAGCTACATGATTCAAAAGTCTACCTATGACAATTCTGACATTAATGGAAACGTTTCTGATCACGAAATAACATCCATCAGTATATCTAATATAACAGCATCAAGTTATAATTCAGTAAGGTTCAATACTGAAAAACTGAAACAGTCTTATTGAAAAAAGATACAAGTTACGAACCTGAATTATTCCCACCAATATATACAAAACTAAATGGACTCACAACCATGTACTTCCATACTGTATCAATTGTCGTCGTTGAAGCGAAAAGTATCGAACACTCAAAAATTCTATGGACCAATTGTTGGAACAAGTAACACAAATAGATAAATTGTTCAATGAAGAGGCACAAAAAATGAGGCTCTCCACAGAGAAAATGATCAATTAAGATCAATGTTAAAATTTGTAGTAATCACAATTTAAAAATAAGAATTTCAAAGTAGAAGAATAGTGATACCACAACGAAGGTTGATTTTCAATTAGTTTTATTGTAAATTCAAATATGAGAAAGAATAAGTTCTTCTATCGAAGAGAATATTTCAACTCTCCTTTTCCACTTGGACCTTTGCTTTAAATAGGAGAAAAGTTAATTATAACTAATCTGGAGAAAAGTCAGAGATTAGGATTAAGATTGGCATGAGAACTTAGAATGAGATTTGAGAAAGGATTTAGAAGTAGCCTCAAGGTCAAGGCAAGAGTAAATATGGATTTAGAGTTAGGAATTATAATTAATGGAAAGAAATAGTAAATATGTGAAAAAAGATTAAGAAGTCTAATTGGCAAGCATACACGGTGTTTACACCGTGTAAAGATTTTTGATAATCGTGTACGATTCGCGTATGCGATGTGAAAGTGACTTCAGTGCCATCTATGGGAAATTAATAACTGGAAGTATTCACGGTGTGAAAACACTGTGTATGGTTGTCACAAAATTGATACAGAGAAAAGAAAATTTTTTTTGTGTTTACGATAAAATTAAAGGAAGGTGATGAAGGTAAAGAAGAGATGAGCTTCTTAAGCTGGGTGATGGAAAAGATGAAAAAAGAATTTTCCATTAACCCTGAGAAATTTTAGGAAAACCCTAAAGGGCTTTAAACATATTGATTTCTATTTTAAAATTCATTAAAATTCATTAATTTCATTAAATTAAACTTTTTAAAACTAACAAATTTGCCGCCAAAAAAATTCATTAAAAAATTCATTAAAAAATTTCACTCTTAAACTGATCTGCAGTGTTTTTTGTGCTAGAGTTTTATATGCTGGAGTGTGAGTTTCGTGCTGGAATAGGCCTTTACTTAACTACTGTAAGGTTCTCGAGAAATCGAGATCAAAGTTGTGCAATCTTAACATGAATTTCGCCCCAGTTCGAGTGTGGAAACGGAAAGTTAAGTACTTAGTTTCAAAGGAGTCTACTTTTCATCTCTCGATATTTTATAGTGCTTGTAAGCAGAAGTATTATAATGATCCAATTTGGACGATCCAATGATTCAGAAGTTATAAGCTCCCAAAGTTGTAGTTTTATAACATTGTTGCTCTCGAATTATCTTAACTGCATGAGTTATATTCAAAATAAAAACCGAAATTGCTGAAATTAGTTCAATTCAAATCTTTTTTTAATCGAAAGTCTCATCATAATGTACCTATTCCTAAACTCAAACTGACCAAATAATGGTCACTTATTGTTACCTAGCCAGTGGTAATGAGCACAGTAGTGCAATTCAACAGATTTAGTGATATTAATCAACCATTAAGCCAAATTACAACCTTAATCATACCATTTTCGGAATCAAATCAAAGATGAAAATAGCTATCATTATCATGATTACCTGTATTTGTTAAAGCTCAGGTAACAAAAATTGAATGAATAATGTTAACAGTATGTAAACCTGATGATAAAAGGTAATCATTAAAAGGTAACGGTAAAAATTATTATCATTATTGTTAATTTACTGTCTTAAAGTAATTGGATTAAAATCACCAGAAAAATCTTATTCAAGTTAATTGAATAAATGATTGTGCTGATTATCATGTAACACTGTTTAATAAAAGGATAAGTATATTAATCAAAAGTAAATATATTTATTAGCATTTAGTAAATGATTAACAAAACTTTCTCAAAAGTTTTCTCAATGTTATCTTATCTCTTGGTGAGTTCAGGGTGAAAATTTTTGCAGGCAAAGGTGAGAATTCATTGTTAAATGTCATTGTATGCTAATTCCTTTTCCTTGTAAATTCATTTACAGTTGATTAATAAATTGAATATTGAACTGATTGATTGACACTTAATCAGCGTGTTGAAAGATTCTGAATATGTTTGATATTTTCACCATGTAAATAATCATTTGTTCAGGATGAAAGTTCTGATAATCTCATTTTTCATTCTTCTTTTTCTGTTGAAAGTTTTTTCCTTCTTCCTTTGTGTTCATGATTAACCTTCCAATAGGTTTACTTTTATCACCATGAAACTATTAAGAAAACTCTGAGTCTGATTAACATGATGTTTATTCAGAGATAATATTTTTCTGTCTACAGAGTTTTACATCACCTGATAAAACTCAAATTCTGAGGTAAACTTTTACATGGGAAAAGATTGAAATGTGATAATAATACAATCAAATCTAATTCTCTATCATTATCTTGATTAAAGTTGACAAATTGGGTCAATTTAATGACTCCAATTAATTGTCTCTGTCTATCAACCAGAAATTGGTAATTGTTATTTATTTATTTTTTTCAGTGGAAAAGTTCATTCAAAAGTTTATCATGAACACTGAATAGATTCATCATCTATTATTTGATCATCTTCTTGATGGAAACTTTTTTTTCCGCTAACAATAATAATCTACTTTAAATTCAATAGTAATTGTGATGAGATGGAGAAAAAAATTTCCACAATTTATCTTCTCTCCTAATCATTTCATGTGATTCAATTTAATTGTGATTATTATCATGGAATCGTAATGATGAAATTAAAGGAAATAAAAATCATGATAAGTAAACAGGTAATTTGAATCTCAAGTTTTCATGATGAATACCATGAAAATGATAACTGTAATCGAGAGGATTTTTTATCCATTCATCCTTTTGATTATGATTATCTCATGAAGTTCAGATTATAATCAGTTAATTAAATAATATGAAAGTAAATCAATGAAAATCAAGTCAAAGGTTTACGATTGTGATTGAGTTTTTGAATGATGGTAAAAAAAAGATGAACATGATCAATCAGGAGATTGAATTTAACCACTGATTGTGATCAATTATTTGATCGGTAGTTGGGAATGAAATAACCAGGTTACTGATTACTGATCAATTCTGTTGCCCTGTTTATTCATGGTGAATATAAATTCTAATAAATTCTGATAAATTTTAATATTTGCTCCTTATGATTGAGAATATGCAAAAAATGAAATAAATAATTTATCATTTTTCACTCATCAGGGTGACGAAAGTGAATTTATTAATCTGTATTCATGATGAAACTTCAGCTTTACATATTGAGAATTGAAAATACTAACGAAAAGTTATCAATATTAATGATTGACATTAATCACAATCTAATAAGCGATTAAGGGTTTGGGAGTTTAATTTATTTTTAGTTGTAAGTGTAAAGTTGAAAAAAATAAAGTTCCGAAAGCTGAGTAACGATAATATGAAGATAAAAATCAACTAGAGATTTCAGGATGAATCTTTTTTTTTCTGTAGAAAATTTTTCTCTCCAGTCTATTGAACAGTTTCAATTTCTTACCTCACTTGAATCGCATCGTCCCCAACAGGACATTGCAGTGACCAGTCCCCAGCATTTACGACCAAGGCTATCGCTTCTAGAGGCATTAAAGGTGAACTCTCGTCTATGACACTCAAGAGTTGAACTTAAGTCAACATTTTTTGTCTTTTGTAGTCTATTGGTTTTTGTTAAATAATTAACCTGATTGTTATCATGGGTCACTGATGTTGATGATGAAGGTGATGCATATGATGATGATGCTGATGCTGATGGCTCAGATTCTGATGAGATTGTTTCTAATTCAGATGGAGAAGATAAAACTGATTTATAAGATGATAAAGATGATAATCTCTCTGGCGATGATGATGATGATGATGATTTGGATGATACAGGATACAAAGATGATGAAGATGATGAAGATGGTCCAAATAATTGAAACACTATCAATAATAACGGTAAAAGTGATGAGAGTAACATTTTCTCCTTCCTTTGATTGTTTGAGTATCTTTTCAATGGGAAATTGTGTCAATGATGATAATCTTGTTCCTCTTATCTTCCTACGGATGATATTCCTCAAGGTATTCACCGTTAATTGTTAATTTGTTTCTCTCTCTGTGTCTTTTATTTGGTGATTACGTTTTCCAGAATGAAGATTATGATGTTACCTGAGATTTTATTGTCTTTCGGGGTCTTTTTTTTTCTTCTCGTTAATACACTTAAACTGGTGGAAACTTATGAAGATTTAGATGATGATGATGATGAATTTATTGTATCTTGTATCTTCCTCTCACCCCCAACTCCCACTCTCTCTCAGCCTCTTTCTCTATTTTCTTAGAAAAATTCTGAGAGGTTATCGTTTCAATGGGAATTTCCTATTAAATTGAAGGTAAATTTTTGCTCCTCCTTGAAAACCTTTCAATCTAGTTAACTAATTAGTTAGATCACTTGAAGATGATTAGGATGCTGGTGATGATATTTATTATTTTACCGTAGGAAGTAATTAAACATATACACTTATTGTTGCTCCTTGGATAATGATTAAATCAATGTTTCCAGTTTTATTGTGACTAATTAAGGAAACAAATGAAAAATAAAATAAAAACAAGAAAAAGTAATTAAATTACTTCATCGAAATTAACAATTTTCTTCACATACAGAATCAAAACAATTCTAAAAATAGATTCAAATATGATTAACAAGGTTTATATTTAAATATATTCGCCATGTAGATGAACAAGTTAATTTCTTACGAAATCTCAATGCTAATTATTGATTGTTATTTACTATTGAAGATACTGACCAGAATTGTTAGTTTTGAAGAGAAAAATTCAAACGAATTAATCTAAATTGTATGTGTGTGAGTATATTAGTTGATCAGAACTTCTCAAACATTAACTCTGAGAATTTCAATCTATCTCAATGAAAGTATCATGATAATAAGAGTTAAAGTCAATCTACCAAAGATATTGATAATAACGTTGATTTTTTTCTGTCTTTATCTGTTCAGAATTTATCCTTAATTTCATTCATTTTCATGATATTGATATTTGCTGATAATTCATGTTTTCCTGTCGAAATCCCTTTGGTAGGTAAAAGTGACTGTGACTGATAAGTTATCAGTTTATGGAAACGATTTCAATGGCCAAATAATTACTCAGAATAAGATGAACATGATTCCGAAAACATTATCATGTATATTCATACATGAATCAAATGTATCTTTATATAAATACGATTAATATCAAAAGATGTTGATATTATTATTATTTACCATGTTGATTGAGCTCAACCCAATCAGGTCATTGGGTAAGATAAGAACAGGGAACAAAAAAAAACGTTCTGATAATCAACCAGGATAATCATGATTAACCATGCGACTTGTTGATCAATGAAAATTTTGATTAATTCTGGAGTTGGACTAGTTTAATATTCAATTGACTATAAAAGCAATTTTCTACTTCTTCATCAATCTAGTCATAACTTTCTGATTTGAAATATCACAGAAAACCAAATGTTACTAAGGAAAAGTTCAATTCCAGTAGGAAGTGGGCTGAAAATTTTGGTATTCATTCATTTACCATGATAAACATGAATTCAATGAATTTCGTATTTTATGATAATATACAAAATTCACCTTTAAGGCTTTTGATATATTTTCTTGTAGTATAACTGCAGAATCATCATGTTTATCAATTCAAATGAATTCTCATGCCTGAAAGGATTGCCAATCCAAATATACAAAAAAATTACAACATGAACAATCAAAACAATCAACTAACAAGTTAAATAAATGTACAAACATCAACCACCTAATTATCATGAATGTTACCTGAACAATGAATAATAATCAAGTTGATGGTGTTTACAGGGTAAAGTTTTTATTTTTCTGCTTTTCTTTTTATGTATATTATTATTTACCAATCAAAGTACAATTTTCTATGAGTGTTTAATCAACAATCAGCAATCAAATTTGCGTAAAGGTCAAGTTTAATTGTTAAGCTTGTGAAGAGTAAAATTTGTTAAATTGTTCAATCAGTATGAGGAAACTAAATATTACAAACATATACTAATGAAGGTGATAAGGAAAATGATAATAAAGTTCTGGATCATCAAAATTATTAGATATTAATTGTTGGTCAGTTTAACGTGACTTTTGCCCAACACAATTTACTGGACAATCAATGAATCCTTACCAATTATTTGTAAGCTTGACAACCATTGACCTTATTTGATATTAAATTTGATGGGTTTCATCATCATCTTTTCATCACCATGATGATAATCATTCATATTCAATATTGTTACCTGGATGATATATATAAATATACCTGTTGAAATCATAGTATTTTTTTTTATTGAGTTTCAACCATGAGATTTATGAATGAAACTATTGAGGTGAAAAAGTATCACAATTGTTAATCACAATTAAACCTTATCAATTTTAGTTGATTGATTTGTTTTGTTTTTTTTTTCATCTATTCTTTGCCATCTAAATGGTGATGATGGATAAATTTAACTTTTACCTGTAACAATTTAGTTAATTGTGGCTCTTTAATATTTTCTTAGTGGTTCATTTTAATCATGAAATAACAATCTATTGAAACAATCAATCACTCCAAGACAATTACTATCAATATAACAATTGAATTTGTAGTTTTTTTGTTATAACGGTAAAACTTGTTGATTAATTGTCACCGTTGAAACAAAAAAAAACTTCAACACTTAACTTGATTACTTTAGTTTTGTATTGGTTAATATTGCTAATGGAGATTAAATTGTCTCAATAATCAAATTGCTAATCGTTGATTAGGATGATACATTTAAGTGTCACTTTAATTATAATCTGTAAGGCAGAAATTGTTACAATTGATTAGTTTAACTTTTCCACAATTCTAATTTCTCAATCAAGCAAAATTGTCTTTAATTGGTAGTGACTTTCTATTCTTGATTAATTAATTAGTTTCATTGGCAATTTACATATTAAACCTGACAAGAGTAATCAGCTTGTTAATTATTGTATAGATTATGATTAGTTTAATTATTGTAATACTTGAAAGTTAATCAACTATTATATTAGGTAAACAACTAAGTAATGGCCAAAATTTTTTCGAGCTTACATTTGGCTTGATTGTTAGAAAACTTTAGATTTTTGATTAATAAATTTAGTATAATTAGAGAGGTTAGATAATAAGCTTTAACATGATACATAAATGATCATTTTAGGATGATTAGTTTAATTACAATTTAATTTTATCTAAAGTGATAAATTTTGTTTTCGATCTTTTTTATTCGGAGGTCATTTTTTCGATGAATATTGAACTTTCGAAGATTAAAATTAAAACAAAATATTCTTTGGATTTTTGAGCTACTATTGGATAAATTTGAACAATTAAAACGATCAAGTTCAAATTTTATTTAAATTTAATCAAAAAATCATTTACCATTGATTTTCCATAAAGAGCCGATTTTCATGAAGTTCTTGATTTAGAATCAATTTTCATGTAAAAATCTCCATAGACAATGTCTCTTCAATGGTAAATGATTTTTTGATTAAATTTAAATAAAATTTGAACTTGATCGTTTTAATTGTTCAAATTATCAATAGTAGCTCAAAATCAAAGAATATTTTGTTTTAATTTTAATTCGAAAGTTCAATATTCATCGAAAAATGACCTCCGAATAAAAAGATCGAAAACAAAATTCTATCACTTAGATAAAATTAAATTGTAATTAAACTAATCATCCTAAAATGATCATTTATGTATCATGTTAAAGCTTATTATCTAACCTCTCTAATTATACTAAATTTATTAATCAAAAATCTAAAGTTTTCTAACAATCAAGCCAAATGTAAGCTCGAAAAAATTTTGGCCATTACTTAGTTGTTTACCTAATAAATATTGAGAGACAAGAAAACAAAAGTTAATCATTCAAAGTCAATAAAAGTCGGTTCATGTTTTGACAATTAATTATTAACAATTAAAGACTCCAAGGTAAATATTAGTTATTGTTACTAATTATTGAAACAAATTGATCAACTAAATTGTCACAGTTAATTAATTGTTACTCTTGAGGGAAAACATGAGTTGGATTAATTGTTGACAATGAACAAATCACAATATAAATCCTGAGGATTTAGATTAAAGTGGTTAATCATATTATTGTAACAATTTAAATGTATCAAAGAAACAATTGATTGGTTATGTTGATGGTTAATCACAATTAAGACAAATGGAAAATCAATCGATGAATTTACTGATTAACTTTTTTATAGGATTGATTCTGATCAGTTGATAATATTCATGGACGATAATGATCAATATAGATCTAGATTAATATGGACCAACAATTAACTAAATCAGTTGATTAAATTGACTACATGATAATTTGAGGTTAATGAAAAATTAATTGTAATTTAATTGATTGTTATTCATATTGTTGAACAGGAGAGACAAGAAAAAAATAACAATCAATATTAATTGTTTATTAAACGATAATAATAATAATTACCTTTCGATTGAGATTATTAATTTCAATGATGAATAATCAATTAAATTGTTGTCCAAGTCCAAAACACAACAATTAACCAACGAAAAGAAATTGAATTAAACAAGTTAAATGAAATTAAAAAGGAAAAACTTTTCTTTTTATCCTTTAATTGGTCAATAGATTAAATTTAATTGTCCACTCGATGAAAAAAGTGAAAGGTGAAAATAGTGATAACAATTAGTTAATTGTTCCAAGTGTTGATAATTACACAGAAACATAACATGGAAAGTTAATCAAGATAAAGTTGATACTCTTAATTGTGATGATGAAACTTTTTCTTTTCATTTGGAAAATTTTCTACTAATTGTTGACTCGTTTAATTAACTTAAATTTGTTGTTTCCAATTAGAATTTTAAAAAAAAACTTTTCTTCCGTAACTGAATATTAATATTACCATGATATTCATTGTCATCTAATGTTTAGTTTGTAACTGTTAAAATCGTTGTTAGTTAATCACATGCGCAGCAATTTAACTTTCGTTGATCATGATTAGTAAACACTTTCGTTAAGGCGATTACTCAATGGAAAAACTTTTTCGTCTCTACTTCAATCGAAGACGAAACAATTTTATCAATAGAGAAACTTTTTTTTCATTTTCGAAACAAAATTAACCAATCAACTGGTTCCATCTATTGGCGAGGAAAAATATTCGGTTAACAAAATTATCGAGCAAAAAATTAGAAAAGGATAACAATTAATTTCTTATTATTATTGATGATTTTTTGTCGTTTTTAATTAATTGTGAATAGAGAAAGAAAGAGAGAGAGAGATAAATATATGTATGAGATATGCATGTGTAAAACTAAATAAGGAAAGAGATTTGTTTTTGTTTTAAATTGTGGGAATATAAATAAATTGTTGGTTAACAATTTAAAGGTTGTCTTGTTTGTCTTTGAAGAGCTACTTTGTTGATAACTAATTGGATATAATTTTGACTCGCTCCAGGGAAAAAGCGTGATTTAAGTTTACGAATTATTTGAGATAATTTATTCACATCGTCGAGATTATTGCTCCGAGAAAATCCTAACATTAGATTCATCCATTGTGATTTATTGTCCAAAAGAAGGAGAGCCAAGCCATCAATTTCCTAATTAAAGAGAGCAAGAGAGGTTTTTATTAATTACAATTGTTCAAATGATAGATTGATTGTGATTAATTGTGGAAATAACTTACATGTTCAAAAAGGGTATCAGAGAGAGTGTAACATCTATTGTCTCGGAAATAATTGCTAACATCTCGAGTTGACCAGTTGACCGGATGAAGACGATCATTTGGATCAAATTTATAAGCAGTTGAAGCTTCAGGTTTGTGAGATTTTCGAGGCGGTGGTGGTGGAGGTGGAAGTCGCCGGACCATTTTCTTTTCAAGATGTGATATATGTTGACGGCGACGATTTTGTTGGTGACGATTTGGTTGAGAAACAAGATGATGGTCAAGTGAATTTTCTGAACCATTACTTGAAACAGTTTCCATGATTTCCTCATATTTACGCTTATTATTATTATTATTATTATTATTATTACTATTGTTATTACTATTAGTATTATTATTAGTGTTATTGGTATTATTATTGGTATTATTATTGGTATTGTTGCTGGATGATTTAGGAATTGACCTTTCGTACGTTTTATCATTACGTTTACTACGGCTAAGATTGGTTGATTCACGGAAATTTGTATCACTTGGTGATTCTTCACGAAAATCGCCCGATTTATCAGATGGACAGTTTTCTTGGGAATTTTCATCATCTCCACCTTTTCTTAAAGCCGCTGATAATTTACGAGTCATTAATTGAATCGGTTGATTAGTTGTGTTCGTGGCTGTAGTTGGGTTAGCGTTTATTGGTGACACTTTACCCTGTTTCAGTGTTTCTTTGGCTTCTCTTGTTCGTCTACCTCTTCCCTTGGTTTCAACCTCTGGTTCAATGTTTTCAGATGATTCCAACTCTTTGGCACCCGAAGATGATCCTGCAGGTGAATCAACCTGTTTACCTACAGAATCAGCGGGGGTTTTTGTTTTAGCTGCTTTTTGACGATAATATATTGCACGTTTGAGAACTTTGTTGGTTTTTCGTAAACCTCTACAATGAGATGGACAATCATCACCATCATAAAGATCAGGACCAAAAAGATGATAGCAACACTTAAGATGACCACAAACCAGTTTACAATATTCAGCTACATCTTTAGTATCAGAAATAACAATTATCTCATCTCGGAATGCTTTCTTGTTGTATTTGGCTTTGAAATTTGTTGTGCGAGCAGATTTGAGTTTGTTTTTCGATAAAAGTTCAACAAAAGATCGTGAACTCATCTCATTAAGAACTCTTGGTGGTACATAGGCAACGGAAATAATTTTTGCGATAACTTCTTGCATAACTAATAAAACGGGTCCTGGACCAACAAATCGAGGTAACTCTCGAATCTTTGTTTTACTCAATAAAGGGCCAGTAAAACATTTATGGTTAAAATAAATTCTAGGACAAACATGAGAACGAGATGTTGAAGGTTCTGGTGGTATTGTGGCTGCTGCCTTGGTTTCAGATGATTTTTCAGTTGAATTTTCACCAACATTTGACTCATCACGACGCTTGACGAGTTTTTTAGTTGTACTGGAAGTGGTTGAAGAGGTCAACAGTTTTGTCAGAGTATATGAATTATCCTCACAGAAACCAGAGGGATACAAATCGGTTGAATTATAAGGCAGCACAGTAACCAGGTCAGCTGAGATTTCGACCCAAACCAAAGGTGGTGTCAATCTAGTGACAATACCTTCACATATCTGTATTAAATGAGAGAGAGAGGAAGAGAAAGAGATTAAAAAAAAATAACCATAAATTGGGAAAAGTGGTAATCGAGGGACAGAATTGAAATTACCATTGTAGGATCGTGAGGGTGAACAACTTGAAGTTTATGATTGACTTTGAATTTTTGTATTCTATCATCATCATCAATCAATTTAATTGGAGCTTCGTTGGCCTTGTGCTTGTTAAGATAATTACGTAAATCATTTGTAGCATCTTCAAAATTGTATAAACTAAAATCATGCTCTTCTGCCCATGAACTTGGTAAAAGGATAACATTGTCATCATTTGGATAACAGCTGACCATTTTTCCGGTTTGACTGGACACGATAATATGATCATCTCCTTTATTTTGAATGATAACAGGAACCAATTTACCCATAGAGGTGGAAAGGTTAATGCTAAATCACTTAGATTACTATTCTTTATGGATGATGGATCAAGTAATGGTGGTCTCTTTGATTTAGCCAAATTAAGTAAATATTTAGCGGTTTGAGTTGTCTCAGCGTCTTGAGCGGATAAAATTTTAGCTATATCGGAGACCCAAGAATTGTAAAGGAAAACGGGCTCATAAGAGATGTCACCTTCCTCTTTAGCATAACCCAAATGATAAATTCGAGGGTGACTATAGAAGATCCAAAATTCAACCGGAGTATTTGGCTCTGAATCGGGTTCTTTATCACATGAGTGAACCCATTTAACAAATAATCTACCGCCAACATTACGTTTAACCTCAGCGAACCAGTGTTTATCTGGATCAAGTCGATGAGATATTTCCAGTATAATTCCAACCTTGAAAACATGAGCCGGATTGAGTCCACCAGAAAGATATAAACTCAACGGTTTACTTTTATCAACCGGCTCTCCATCATCGGTATATTCAACTTCATAATCACAAGCGGCTTCATAACTAATTGGTACCTTATCGGGAGCCTCGAAGGTAAATTCATGGTCATGTTTCAGGTAACCATAAGGGAAACATTTATTAGCTTTAACATCAATCCAGGAATCGGATGAACAGCCAGCCCATTTGATGGATAAAAGGTTGGAGAAAACGTTGATTATTTTAGCGACCCAATACTTTTTCTCGTCATGTACAATCTCAATATTCATTCCAGGCTCAAATCCATTGAGCCAACTTGCTTCAACCTTTTGAGAGAGAGAGAGAGAGAGAGAAAAGTGTGGAGAAAATAGAAAATAAGAATTTTTCTCATTGATTATCCCAGAAAAAAGAATAGAAGAAAAGACCCAAAGCTTTTGTACTTTTATTCATCAGTAAGATTAACCCAATAATCAAGTTGACAAGAGTTTGAGTTGTTTCAACATTGAGAATATACAATAAGCCAAAAGGTAGCAGAGAAAATGAGAATACGATTTAGCCTTGATAATGGAACAAGGTAACAGAGTGAGAGTGAATTAAGGAATCATAGCAGGAAGAGAACATAGAAAATGAAGCGAAAAAATTAATAGAATTTAATGATAATTTAGAAATTAACATAAATTCTATTCTCATGTTTAAAGAAAAAAAAATAAGAGAAAGAGAGAAAATAAGAAAGAAAGAGAAAAGAAAGAGAAAAGACCTAAGCTATTTCTCTAAATAAAACAAACAAACACAAGAAATTAGGCTTAACGAATGGGAAATGGGTTTGATCGCCATTTTATAGTTGAAAGTGATTGATTCTAAAGTGGTAATTACAATTAAATTGTTACTTACATGCCAAAATGCATCATCGGAAACTAAATCTTCCTCCATCTCTTCATCCTCCTCTTCCTCTATCTCCTCCATGGTCTCCTTTTCAGCTTCATCACTATCATTGGCCATATCTAGAGTAACCATCACAGAGAGAAACAATCAAGTGTTGATAGGAATTAATTTTTTAAAAAAAAACAAACAAAAGGTTAGACAAGAGAATAGTTAATTATAAAAGAGAATTGAAGAAAAGTGTAAAATGTAAGAGAATCAAGTATAAAAAGAATATAGAATTTAAATGAAAAAAAGAAACAAATACAATCGAATGGAAATAAAATCAACAAAATTTGGAAAACATGGTAAAGTTTAACTGGAAAATTAGAGCCAAAAGACAGAGAGAAAGAGAGAGAGAGAGAGAAAAGGTTTTAACTGGTTACGCTTTTGATGCTCTTCTTAAAAACATAAGCTTGTAAATGGAAGGAAAGAAAGAGATTGAGAGAGAGAGAAAAAAATGGAAGATGGATGATGAAAGAGAGAAAAGAGAAAAAAATGAATTAAAAACTCTTCTTACTTGAATTGTTATTTTCTTGAGAATCCATAATAACAGAGAGACAATTGATTAAGAGCGAAGGTGAAATTAAATTTTGGGAGAATTTATTTTTCCTTTGGAGAGTAGAAACACTTTGACAATTTGATTAATATTTATTGGGAGAATCACTGATTAATTGATTTCTTTTAAATGATGAGTTTAAATTGTTGGTGAAAAGTGAAAACAACAGAAACAAAAACAGAAAAAAAATTGAACGCAAATGGAAAAGAAATTGGAGTTTGTCTCTCTCATCTTCCTCTTCCTCTGTCTCTCTCCCTTTCTCTTTAAAGACTCACTCATTTTCTCATCTGCTCTTTCGCTTTCCTCTGTCTATTTCTATTAAGACTTTCAGTCGACAATCTCTCTCTCTCTCTCTCTTCATCTTCCTCTTTATTAACTTCTCTCATTTTCATCCATCTTCCTCTTCACCTTTGGCCCTTTTTTACCGCCAAATCGTAACTTGAACTTTTCCCCCTTTTCTCATTTTCGAATTGACCTTTTCCTCCCCCCTTCGATTGACCATTGAACCAAATGAGTTCCAGTTTCATGAGCTAATCAAAATTCAACAATTAAAACTAATTTTGTTTTCTAATTACCAGAGGAAAAGAGATTATGAAGAAACTGGTAACCCAAAGAACCAGAAAATCTGAAAAACCCAAAAACCAAAATCGCCTTTTAAATGATCCAAACAATCAACGATTAACTAACAATCAACATTAGTAATTAATTGAAACAATTAGTATAGTTGATGGAAAACAATCAATTCATTTTCCAATGAGATTCTATTGTTTCAATTATTCAGAATTTGAAATTCTGTCTCTCGGTTTGAACTCATTGACCCAATTTCAACAATTCTAAGAATTGAACAATTTACTTAATCATTTTACCGATTATCGAGAAACCCAATCAAAGTTATCGCTAATTAATCTGAATAATTTGATTATTATCCCACAAAGAAAACAGATTATTAATACTAATTGTTGCGATCTTAAAATCAGCTGTTAATTTATAGTATTTCCCTGAGTATCAATTGATTTGATTTCCTATCGAAACCTTAATTGTTACCATAAGTGTTGGTGATTAACTGCAATTGGGTGAAATTATATTGATAATTAAAATCTAATTGTCTCTCAGTTAATTAAGTCTCCATTGTCTTTGATTGTTAATCAGCCTATGGGTTGTATATTATATCTCATGTTAACCTCCTTTGTTTTTAATTAATTGTTGTCTCTTTAATTGTTTTGATTGTTTTATTTTAATCTGAAAACAATTAATGGATATTATGATTTAATCATTTTCTACTTTATTTATAATATCTTGCTAATTAGTGAAACATTTAAATTGATGTTTAATTTTGTTTTAACTTTTTGTTTATGTTTTGATAAATTCAAGAGTAACAATTAAATTTGATTACCAATTAACACAATTAACTTATTTCTCAACCAAATGAAAACTTATTCACAATTAAATCACTTTAATTGTTTATCAATAACTTGATCAACTAATTAAAGTTTTACACGAGAAAACAATTGAACAATTGTTTTCATTTTCAAGTTTTAATTTAATCCAATCAAATGTATCACTTTAATTGAATTGAAAGTTGATCATTCTAACAATTAACTTTGATTATCTTTTCATCAAGCTGATCATCATTTCCATTGGTTTTCAAGGTTTTGGCTTTATTTTCATTTTATTTCTTACTAATTGTGATTTAGTCTAAATAATCAATGTTTTCATATTATTACAATTACTTGATAACTGATTACATCTTTAACCGTTAATTTGTACGAGTAAAAATCAATCAACAATCAATATAATTACATTGATGGATCAAGGTTTCAATTTTGTTACATTTCCATGATTAATTTGATTGTATATTGGCAAAGATTTGATCAGTGATGATTTAACTGTTAAATCATTTAGAAATTGTTATAAATAATATTACATCATTTAGAAATCACAGTTAATTACTAAAAGAAGAAAATTACTTATCATCGAGAGAATTAATTTACTTTTCAATGGAATGAAATTAATTAATGACTAATTAGAGAGAGAGAGAGAGAGAGAGAACAATTTGTTGGACAATTAGAAAATGATTTGGATTAGACAATTAGTCTTGGTATGAGGAATGGAAATCAGATCGATACGAAGCCGATTGAATGAATATTCAATATATTGACTTGATCCATCATGAAATCGCAATTTATTGTTTGATTAAATTAAACAATACGAACAATAATAATCAATTATTGTTAGCAGTTTCCTTTTCTCATTCGGATTTGTTTTTACTCGCAATGAGAAATGACACAGAAAAAAAAACACCACGAAAAATGGAGAGGAAAAAGTTTTGAGCGCTAAATGAATGGATTTTGAGTTCGCAAAAAGGATTTGAGAGGTTGTCGGAGAAAATTTTCCACGGCGGATTCTGCTTTCGATTGGTGTAATTAATCTAATTCCAATTTCCAGGTACAATCGTATATGTATAGTTTTCCTTGAGGTAAATACCAGATCCCGAAATTTGATAGTCCAAATAATAGAGCCGAATATCCAATTCAAATTCAGCGATTGTGGTAATTTAATATTACACTTGGAAATATCTTGGAGGGACCCATGAAGTTGGAGTTTTGTTCCTGATTAGTTAATTGTTATATATTCTGTACCCACAAAGGAATATGTGAATGTTTGTGTATGAGAGAGATAGAGAGAGAGAGAGAGGGTTGCGGAAGCGGAAGAGGATAAGAGTGACCGGTGGCAAGGTGACCGTTGTGGATTAGGAGCAGCAAAAGGCTAACACAAACACTAGGATTAACTTGATGATGACTTGATTGTAAACATGGTAATGAAATTAAATTAAAAAATATCTCTGATTTGATTTGTTTTTCTCAATTTTGCTCCTTTCTTTTTCAAAAGTTGATTATATTTATAATCAACATCGAAATCACAATTCATCTCGCATTAATAAAGTGTACCTATTCCTTGATGGTGCTAATTTTTTAAATGTTGACTCAGGTGGTGATGTTATTATCTACAAAGACAATTAATTAATAAAAGAAAAAGAGTAATTAGTATTAATTGTATCTTAATGAAAACAATAGAGAGAGAAAAATAAAATGTATTTTTATCAATTGTGAACATACTTGATTATCATTGGAATTATCTTTGTCATCGTTGGCAGGATCCGGACCGAAATGAAATTCCCTATGAAGTTTACCACTGTGTAAATCTTGAATAAATTGCTTTAATTTACCAGGAAATCTGGAAGAGAGAGAGAGAGACAAAGAGAGTGAGCATAATTTACCAATGGTAACACACACACAAGCGACTGAGTTAATTGCAAACTTACTTGATGTCATTAAAATTAGGAAAAAGATACATATGCCTAAAACTATCGATTGCAATTAAAGGTAAGTCTTTAAGGGATTTACCAAGATGGTGGAGAGGATGAGCAAATTTCTGCCCATCAGCGGTAAGAAAATTGATGCTTGGTGATTCACTATACAATTCTTTATGGACAATATTGGTATAAGTGTCAACCGATTGCCGATCATCCGGTGCATGGAATAATATCAGGAAAGGTAAACCCTCTTCGGTTAATTCTTCAGCATTTTCAAAGGTAATCTCACGAACCAATGGTATACATTTATCTGTTGACCAGGTACTAAATTCATCGTAACTTTGTAATGTTCCAGGATATGTTATATCTTGTTCACCTGGACGAGATCTTGATGGTTTGAAAACGATGAAATTCTGTTTACCAGATTGAAGGTGTGATATTGAGGGTTCTCCAGTTACCCAGAAGAAATTACAGTCTCCCTTTAAATCTGTTGCCACTTTACGGAAAGTACTGTATTCAGGGGTAGAAGCAGGAGGAACATTGAAATAACCGATTATGGCACCTTTCTTTTCCTCAATATTATTATGATCTTCGTGTGTAGTGATTGGCTTGACTGGATCTTTCAAAAGATCACGGATATGATTAGTTATTGCCTCAACGCTCCGTTGGCCTCTGTACTCTCGTTTAGCAACTTTGTTGTTAATAAACACTTTTAATGTTGGATATTTGCTTATGTGAAATCTAGATGCAAGTGTACCTATGGTAGAGAAAGAGACATAGATACAGAGAGAGAGAGAGAGAGAGAGAGAGAGAGAGAGAGAGAGAAAAAGAGATGATTAATTTCGGTATATTGAACAGGTGAAAGGAAAATTAAATTAGAGAATAGAATTTTCTTTTCTGTTGTTGGTTAGTTATAAATTATATTCTCTTGTGATTTAATTCTATTTAACTTACCTTGATTTTCACAATCAACTTTACCAAAGAGAACACGATTAGGCTCAGGAAATTCTTTCAATATATTTGATTCGGCTTCTTCAAATACTGGTGACAATATTTGACTAAATCTACACCAATCAGCATAAAAATTAACAAAAACTAATTCATATTTAGATGTCATAGAGTCAAAATTTTGTGAATTTAACTGGAAAACCTCAGCAGAGCAAAAATTTTTAAGGCACAAAAAAGACAAAATTAACGAAGTTGTCACTAAAGTATAAAACTGAACCATGTTATCCTAATTTTTGTTGTTTACTAGATACTTTTTTTACTACTCTTTCCAACCAAATTAACTAGAACCTAAACGACAAAGTAAATGAACGTAAAAAAGTAGAAGAAAACAAAAAACAAATGAGACTCGAGTTTAATTTTCTCAGAGAAAACAAAAAAAAACCAATTTAAATCTTATTCTAAAAAAGGTAAAGAGTAGCAAGAGTATGACACATATGAAGAGCAGAAAACAAATGAATACAAATGAACAGCCGCTGAATCGTTACCATGGTTACTCTCAATTTTCGCGCGAATTTCAAGTTAATAGTTTAAATTTTTCTTCTCCAAATTAATTGAGAAAAATGTAAATTCCACAAATTGATTGCTAAATTGCTTGAAGTTTCCATTTTGATGTAACAATCAATTTGATTTTGTTAAGGAAAATTTTCTCTCTCTCTCTTTCCTTGATTGTTATTTGATAACTTTAACTTTAATCTTTTGTTTTTGTTTTTGTTTTTGTTGCTGTTTGAGTTTCAAGTTACAAAATATAATTAATTTACTTTATCAATTGATTAGTTTGGAACACTGGATTGCCAATAATCAATTTCTTAAATTATTTGATTGTTGGATTTTCCTTTCTCTGTGTAAACATTTAAATCACTAATCTCTTTCAAAAGTAAATAGAAAACATTAACTGACCAATTAATTGATTAACTTTTACAACTTTGAGTTAACATGAGATTTACAAGTCAATAAATATTAAAAGAAATTAATTGTTACATTGTGTTAATGTGTTGATATTGTGATTAAGAAAATGTAATCACAAGTGTAAACATTGACAATTAACATTAATTGTTAAGAAAATTATTCTTCTCGTGTTTGAAAAAAACAGAACTTGAATTTAGTTGATTTTCTAATCAACAGGTGGCGCTTGATTTTCGCACATGATTGTTAAGTTTTTTGGTAGAAGAGAAAAAAAAATTTTTGTTTTCATTTCATTTCTTTGGATTTTTTTTTATAAATTTCTAGTTAATTATTAGTTTTATTTATAAGATGATTTCATTAGTTGCCTAAGGAGTATTTGTTTCATTGTAAATAGTTGACCAGGGAACTGAATATCTTTGGTTCCAAATTCTATTTACTTTTCAATTGTTTTTTTCCCTTTTCTTCACAAATGGATATGGATAAGGAGGTTTACAATTCTAATGACATGCTTGGCCTGATTCCTGTTGCTGAGGAAAGTGAATCGATGTCATTTCATTTTGGTAAATTACTTACCTCAGAATCAAAGGATTTCTTTAATTGTGATACTTCTATTGGCCTCGATTATCCTGTTCGTTCAGCCTTACAGCCAATCTGTGTCCACGTAGATGGTTCTGATGAGAGTACTAATTGGGTTAATCCTCCTTGCGATGATAATGTTGACCTTTTAGATATTTCAAGTAAACGTTTACCTGTTGATCTGGGTTTCAATGGTCTGGATAAAAGTTCAATATATTCTTCCACTAATGGAAATTATAATTCCACTAATTTAACACCAAATAACCATGTGATTATTAATTCACTGCCGCCCGCCTCTGAAATACCATCTCCAACTGAAACAACTGATTATTATTATGATAACAGTCAGACTAATGATATCTATAGTATGAGAGCTGATTTTTCAAATCATACGCCATTTGTTGACAGTGAAAAAATCTATTACAATGGTAATCAGTCTCTCTATTCAAATGGTTATCACAGTCAACACTATGATCATCCTAATCATCATGTATACCATGTACACAATTTAACACCTCATCAAATTTACCAAAATCATCATCACCACAATCACAATCAACAGCCAACAACACCTTTACATCATTATCTGCCACAAAAGAAAGGACAACCGCCATTTCAGCGCCACAATACACACCGTCGTCGTCTCAATCTCTATGAAAAATCAACATCAAGTCCAATCAAACAGAAACAAAAACACCAACCTCATCAACAGCAACATCATCCACAACATCAACAACCACAACATCAACCTCAATCACCTATACAAGGACAAAAACCTGTAAAACCTCCGAAACCTGCAAAAGCACAAAAGTCTCCACAAATTCAGAAAACACAGAAAACACCAAAAGTCCAACAACGTCAGAAAACTCAACCAATACAATCACCAACACCACCATCAAAAACACAACAGCAAATTGTTGTCAAACGTAAATATCAGAGGCTAAATGTCAAATCCAATGAAGTGAAACCTGAGCTTAATCAACGGAGTGTTCTCAAGAAGAAATTAGGACGACCGCGCAAATATGATTATTCACCGCCCAAACCAATTAAATTCCGATCACCAAGGTTGAGATTACGAGTGCAATCTGAAGAAACAAACTTGGAAGAGGTTCCAGATTCAGGTGATTCATTACGAACCCGAAATAGAGTACAAGTACAAGTAAAAGAGAAAAAAATCAAAGAGGTTTTACCATGTGATTGGATTAAACCAGACAATTTATCATTTGATCGAATCATTGTATCAGAATATGAGAAAACCTCATTACCAGAATTTTTTGCCGGTAAATTTGATCGTACACATTTCCATCCAAGTCAATATCTACAAATACGCAATATATTTCTTGATGAATGGGAAAAACGTAAACCAAATGGTGTTAATTTTCGTGAAATGATTCGAATTCACAAAGGAATTGGTAATGTTGTCAGTTTCTCAAGAGTTTGTAAATTTTTAACCGCCATTGGTGCAATTAATGAAACCAGTCAGGATGATGATGATGATGACGACGATGATCAAAACAACGAGGATAATAATAACAATGGAGATGATGATGTCACAAAAGTTTCAAACACAGAGGAAGATGATGAAAATTCATCATCAGCATCAAAAAAATCAGATAAAAATCAAAGTAAAAACCAAGATGAGGAATCAGAAGATATTAAAGATTCTTGTCCTAAACAACCATCTTCATCAACATCATCACCGCCGCCATCTTCATCTCCCTATAGGGAAACAACAAACAGTTCATCTTCAACAACTTCATCTCCACCCCAACAACAACAACAACAACAACAAAACAAAAACAACATCAAGTGAAGTTAAATCATCTCAACCAGGAGTAACCTCACATCCAAGGAGAAAGGGTCGTAAACGTAAAAGTTATTTCCTTAATGAGATGACTCGACTTGGTATCGATCCATTATCCGCTGGTTTCCCGATTCCCGGATTCGATAGGGAAGATAAAGATGATGATAATAACGAGCAAACATCAACAACAAATGATGATAATGATGATCAATCAGAAAATGTACAAAATTCAATCTCCCCAAAAGCTTAAACCAAAATGTTTTTTTAAACAAAACCGTTTCCATCATAACATAATCACATAAACCACATAGTCGCTGTTGTCTTCATCATCATTGCCGAATTTTTCTCTCTCTCTCTCTCTCCATTTAAACACAAATATCTCTATCATCGACACCAACATCATCCTCGTCAACATCACATATTAATAGTTACTATATATAATCAACGAAAAAAACGAGTAAAAATGACCTCACTTAATTGACCTACATTATGATGATGTGTATCATTGACAAGAAGCTTCGTCCATCTTTTTTTTCACTATAAATGTTAAGCGTTGTGAACGTCCCTTTATCATAATCAGCAAATTTTTCTTTTCAAAACAAACACAATTTTTTCCCTTATTCTGTTGATTTAATTTAATAGAAACAATTTAAAGGTCCGTAAAATTTAAATCTCTCAATGTTGCTGATGGTCAGGGATACCATAAATAAATCAAAAAACAAACAACAATATATATTATATGTTAAGATAATTAAGAAATATTTTATCCTTGAAAGTAAAACAATTTAAATGATTATCCTTTTCCATCACTTTATTATTTGTAACGGTAAATTAACTTGATACAAATACAAAGAAAACAAAACAAAAACAAAAACTTTAATTGTATTCATGTTATTTGGACAATCGAAATGTAATTAGTTGATTGTTGGATTAATTTTTGTTACTCGACCAACTCTTGATTAACTTTGTTTTCACCTCGAACTTGATTTTGAAGTTTGAATTTTAATTACTCTTGTTTACTTTTGGATCTTTTTATGCCCTTCGATCTATGACCTTGGGGTCGAAGTTTAAAGCCAAACAGTTTAGAAAGTTCTAACTTGGTTAATAGACTTTTCTTCAACAATTAGCTAATCTCAACAATTACCTTGGACTTTTCCTCTTAGTAAATTATGATTTTCCGGATTAAATTATCCAACGAGTAAATTGATAACTTTTATGGTGAGATATTAGTGATTAGTGATACGTTACCAATCATATTGATTAAAATTGATTGTTAACTTTGCAATTTAAATTGTTATCCAATAAAAATAAGAGAGTGAGAGAGAGTCAAAGTTTTGTGTTAATCAACAATTTAAGAAATCAAAGTTTTTCATTAACGACGGATAACAAAAAGCACATTAAAAACTGTTAATTATTATTAACAATTTAGTAGTAATTCAGATTAAAACCAATGTCTAAATCCTAATAATAGTGATTAACGTTTTAACAAGTTGATATACTATCAACAATTAACGAGTGTAGACTAATTAGTATATTAGCCGAATTGGTGAGAGAAATTAAAAAAGGTACAATTAAAGTCTAAACCAATTTAAAGTTAATTTGATCTCTACGATAGTGTAATAAGGTATCAAGAATGGACTCCAATCAATAGTAATCGTGATTTACCGGATGATAATTAATTCAACCTTCACCGAGAAATACATGTATTAGATTGTTTAATCAACTGAATCAACTTGAATTGATTTACCTGTTGGCGAACAAAAAAAGAAAGTGAATTAATATAATTGAGTAAACAATGAGAGCTTGTTATAAGTATATTACATAAACAGATAATCTAAAAATGATAATAGTACAATAATCTACCTGGAATTGGTTAACTGTCTCGTTAATCTTTCATCTGATATAATTAACAATCTAAATACAATAATTATAAGGAAAGTACAAGAATCAAGGGTTAACCTTAAGTAACTGTAGTTGGACGGTTGGTGTTTATGGATTAACAGATTAATGTTCAGAGTTGGGAGGAAATTGAAGGCGGAGGGAGAAGAAGGTGATTGTGGTGGTGATGATGGAGGAGGAGGAGGATGAAGATAAAGTAAGTAAAGGTTGACAAAAAAAGAAAGGAAAGAAAGGGAAAAAAAGAAAGAGAAAAGGACGAAAAAAAAACTCGAAGTATCAACTATTGTTATGGAAAAGGAGTTGAGTTGATTAAGTAAATTAACTGATTGACACTGAAATTTTTTCGAGTATAAAAGTGATTTGATTCGCAATCAAATCAAGCAGAAGTGTTTCAATCCTCTTAACAGTAACAACAATCAGCTTTTGATTATTTTAAATTGTTTCTAATTCACCAACAACAATCAAAGTCCAAACAAATCATGTTCATCGTAAAGGTAATTTAGTAAATTCAAACTTTCTCTCCATAGAAATCAAAGATAACGGTTCTTTTGATTCTCTTTTCACTCCCAATCATTGATTATGATTATTGATTGTTTGTTTTAATTTATTTCTCTCTTTAAATTGTTGATATTTTCCTTGATTAGTTAACTTTACTCTGTGTTCTCTTTGCTGCCACCGTGATGGCCAACGGGTGGGACAATTGGGGTAAAAACCATTGGGGTGGTTGGTCTCATTCTTATGGACCAGAGCCTTGGAGTAACGATTATGGATACAAGTGGACAAACAAAAAGGCCTCAGTTTATCATCACCGAAAAGGCATGTTAATTAATTGTCCGAACAATTTGCTAATTGCTAATCAACAATCTTAAATTGTTTCTGTGCCTCTTCCTCTATTTACTTTGGTTTAATCATTTGTGTGATTAGTGGTTAATTACAAAATCTCTTGACCATAACTAATCATTGAAAATTGGAGTAATCAGTTTCTCTCTTTTTTTTTGTTTCATAATCAAATCTAATCATGATTAACTTAATTGTCTGTATAAGTGCTATTTAGGTAACAATCAACAACAACAACAACAACAATTTAGTGGTTGAAATGATAAAACAACTGAATCGTACAAGTGATTAAGTGACTGATGAAACATTAATTTACTTTAATCTTACTCCGTAATTGTGATTTACAATAATCATTTAGTTTTCCATCAATGAGAAATTAATCACTTGGATTATATCAATTAACTAATTTAATTTGCCTCTGGTTTTTTTTTAATTGCTTTTCTGCAGGAACTCCAAGCTGGGGATGGGGCAATGATAAGTGGGGTCATGGTTGGGGTCACGGTGACAAATGGGGCTGGTCAGAGCCCAAGTGGGGAGGTAATGACCACTTCGTCTACGGTGTCAAGGTTCACCACGATGTCCCAAAGAAATGGGGTGGATGGGGATGGCATTAAATTGCAGTCCAACAATTAACTAAATTGTTCAACTCTGGATACTCATGGTAAACCAACACAGCGAATACAAAATAATTTATTCCCAATCCGATTATTTTCAATCGAACTGATCAGTTTTAATTGTTTCCTCTTTTTCCTAATTGTGCCTCGTTAATTAATCATCATTTAAATTGTAAAATTTTTTGTTCTTTTCACACAAAATTTAATATATATTGTAACATATTCATAACAATCACCAACCACAATCAAAATAAATTAACTCAGCAACTGTAACTAAATCAACTAAATCATTTGAAACTGACCTTACAATCAATACGGTTGATTTGATTGTGAATTTAAACAATAGAGAGAGCGAATGACAAAGTTAATTGTTTGGCCTTTAATTTTTTTCTGGACTTCTTTTTAATTATGATCAGTGATTCTCAATGCCAATTGTAATAGATATTTTTATCATTTAATTGTTGGACTAATCGTTACGGTTATTTGTTGGTCAATTTATGTATTAATTTTCAGCTTTTCGCGTTTCCTTGATTATCAACAATTAACAAATTGATTGCAAAACTTACAATTTCCTGACGATTAAAATTTAATTCACTCCAAGAGATATAATTGAAAATGACAATCAACAATTAAATGTTTAACAAGGTTTATCATGTTTTTTTATATCTTCTTAATGTTGTTAACTGATTAACGACAATTAGGAAAAAAAATTAACTCTATCTTCCGTTAATTGTTGGTATATAATTGAATGAATTGTTGTTGGTTAAAAACATTGAGGATCTTATTGTTTTAAATTGCTTTCTAATCATTTCTTTTTCATGATTAACCAAAAAAAGGAACCAAATCAAAATTAATTATCATTATCAATTGACAATCATATACCTGGTATTGAGTTGTTATTGTTAACAACAATTAACTTTAATTGTCTTCCTTTATTAAATATTTTATCAACAAATTATGACGATTTAGTTGATTGTCACTAATTTTAAATTGTTACTATTTATGTGTCAAGTTAATTGTTTCCTAATTGCATATAATTAACCAATCAGGTAATCATCAAAGTTTAATCAACTGGTAAACGATTATAATTTGATTAACAGAAAAATTAACTAAATTTAGTTTAATTTATCTAATTGTTGACATTGAATAATTTAATTACAGTTGATGTAAAGTAATTGATTCACAACTAGATCATAATTAACTTTACAATTGGTTAATTGTATTGGATTTAATTATTATTTTGTGTAACAATTAGATTGTATTTTCACATCGAGTCATAATTGTAACACTTACTACAATCAATGAATTTGATTGTAGTGTCATCATTGATTAATTTGATTCTCATAATTGTAAAAATTATTCACTTTTCCGCCAAAAAATTTTCGTATGTACAAATCACAGAGTGACAATTAAACTAAATACTAACAATTAACTTGATTAATCATTATAGTCATTATAATCATTTAGTATTCTGATCACAAGATAATCAACTTTAAAGAAAAGGTAACAATTCAAATTGAGGAAAATTTGATTAGTGTTTTAAATTAGACTTTTAATTAACACTAATAGTAAACTAATCAATTGTTAATATGAGAAAAAAAAGTTAACTTAATAATCCATGAGGTCAAATGTGATTAACAAACTCAATTAGAATCACAATTAAGACTTTAATTGGTAACAATTTAATGGCTAAATAGTAGTCACAAAAATAATGTAACTAAACAAGGAAAGTAAATCACAAGTGATTTAACTAATTGTTAGTTAGAAAGTTGATAAAAATATACAATTAACAGTTAATCATTTGATATAAATGATGAAAGGTAACAAGTTAATCACTTGGTGTTAACATAGTATTTACTAATCAAGTTAATCCTTTGAATTCCTTGTCAGTTTAACCATTGAGTTAATTGTTGTGTTTGCTAATTCATTGAGAAAATTACAACAACAATTAACAATTGTTTTCTAAATTGTTCAACAATTGGTGAAGGTGAGTTCGTGAAAACGCAAAAGTCCAATTCGACGAAGAGATGAAAAAAAAGTTCTAACGATTTTTTTTTCTTTTCTCGCTCGAAATTTGTTCTAATTGTGAAAAACAATCGCATTGAATTTTTAAGGTTCAAGTTTGATTATCATCAAAGTTAACTAATCAAATTGGATTAAATTAAATTAGTCCAATATCATAATCATCTTAATCCAATTGTGAGCAAGGAGAAAAAAATAATTCACAATTTAATCAACAACAATTGATTAGTTGCTCATTAAGTTGTCACTTTTATTTCACCAACAACAGAAACAACAATTTGTTAATTGTTTCAATTGAATTAGTGGTTTGATTAATCAAATTGTGAGAAAATTGTTTCTTTTCGTAAAATCTTAATTGTTGTTAAATCTTGATTCTGATTTCAATTGTTAACTTTGGTGCTTTTTTTACCTCCAATCTATTAATTGTTTACTGAATGAATTAACAATTCAAATTGTTTAAATGACTACATTCCCTTTGATTGTGAACAATTAAGCAAATGGTAATTAAAGTTCACTATTTATTTATAATCAATTAGACTTTGATTTATAATAATAATAAAGGTAAACATTTAATGTATCAATTGAGTCAACAATTAGCACTAATCGTTGACAATCAAGAGTAATTAGTTTCCAATTCAATTGATTATAATCAAAAGTGATCAACACTAAACAAAAGTGACAACATAATGATTAACTAATAAAACAATCAATTGTGAATTACTTTTTTACATTACCCACAATTAAATTAAATGATGATCCTGATTAAATTGTGTTCACTTTGATTGATAATTAAACTTGAACTTTAAAAATTCAATGTGATTGTCAAGATGATCAATCAAACTTTAGTTAATTACTGACAACAGAGGATCAGATGACTTGAGGCAATGAGAAAAAAATAATCAACAAATCAATTGGACAATCAATCAATGATTTAAGTTGAATTAAATTTAATTAGTGAATAAAAAACGTATACAAGAAAAATCAATGATTCGGATTAATATTCATTCAGATTACCTTTAATTTGAGTACAAAGATTATCAATGGAAAACAAAACAAAAGATTAATTGTCTTTGGTTAATAGAAAAAGAGTTAAATTAATTATCTCATTTATTTTGGTTCATCTTTGAGTCTCTCAATTATTATTGATCAGAAAGCATGATTGGATATTCAATCAGATTTCCAGTGTCCCAGCCATGAATTTTTCGAGACCTCGAATTGTAACTTAGCATAATATTATTCTTAAATGGATTGATAAATTTAATTGGTTCCTGATAATCGATCAGATTTATATTGTTGTACAAATCAAAGGCCACATCAATGGTCGTATATGTTTCCGATATACTGGCCACCGAATATAAAACACCACAGATAATAAACATTTCACCTCTCGAGGTGTGGTCAAGTTTAATATTCCAAATGGTTTCAATGGACGAGGCTTGAGGTATATTCAAAGTTGACCCATCAAATTTCATCACCATCGTATTGTTATTTTCCGGATTAGGCCAAATTACCCAGAGGCCATTTTCATCTGACATCAGGTCAAGATGATTATGTGCCAAAGAGTAAAGTTGCTTAAATGAATGGGTAAAACTATGTTCAAGGTAGGCAAACTCTTTGGTTCGAAGGTCAAATTTAACCAATTTCTTCATTTGATCAGAGTAATAATAAAACGATGAATTGTAAATAATCTGAGAATTTCCGGTAAAATTGTAACGAAGTTTATGAATTGAACTTTGTACATCGTTACGTAAGGCCACTTTATTTGGATATTCGTAGAGTACACCTCGTTTATCCTCGTGATCAATGGTCAACCAATATTTTTCCCGTTCCTTTTCATCGGTAGCAACGGGATCTTGCATCCAACATCCCCAGGTCTCATTACGCTCAGAGTTGAATAAAGGTTTACCCACTCGTAGTAATTTCATCACAGTTCCACCTCGAATACAATCTGAAAACAGACAATTCATCAGATTAAATCATTCAGACATTCAAGTTCGTTATATTTTCATCTCTGTGATCAAAAGATGGCAGCAGAGAACAGAAAAATTCTCGATAATTTATCAAGAATGTGAAAGCTAGAGAAAAGTTTCCAAATCTTTTTGTTATAAATTTCGAATTCAATCAATTGGATTAGTTAATCTTTCTGATCAATTGTTTTTCTATCTCTCACCTTGACTTCGCGGTTTTAATCCGATCCATTTGGTCTTATCAAATCCATGAACTTCTTCTGCTTTGATGGTTTCATTTCGACGACAATTACATTCTTGGCATAATTCACATTCAGGATCCTCAGGTGGAATCTCAGGTATTCCAAATACTTTTTCATGGGGATCATGGCCCTTGTGTCGACTTGAATCATTGGCTGATAATGAGAGAGAGAGAGAATTGATATTCGATGTCAAAGTATTGATAAAATAATAGATTTCGAGCAAAAATGAGCTCATATAATTAAAAAATGATTAACAATTTAATAGATGAGGAAACGACAAGTAATAATCATTTGTTGATAATTACCATAGAGTTCAATGATTCCATAGGTTGTGTTGACCTCATTTTTTGAGATACACTTATAAACACCAAGGTCACTTGGTTCAATGTGCGAAATATTAAATAATAATTGAGTTAAATTATCTGATTTGTCAATTTGATACATTTTCCTTTTCCAATCAGTCAATATTTTGTCACCTTTAAAGGTCCAATAATGAATAGCTGTTGGATAAGCATCAACAAGGCACTCGAGAACCACTGAAGACCCATTATCAGCGGCAACGGCATCTTTGGTAACAGTAATTAAAGGTTGATCTGAAATTAAAATAGTATTAATAATTAGCTATCAAAAGGTCAAGAGAATTTCAAATTTTCCCTCTCATGTGAAAATGATCAAAATGACCACTTACAAGCAACCGTTAGGTGATATTGTTTGGACACTTGAGGTGGAATCCCATTGTTAGCATAGCAAATATAAGTCCCTGAATGGTCACGTCTTATTCTGGTCAAGTTTAATTTACCTCCACAAACTTCAACATCTGAATACAAGAAAGAAAGAGAGAGAAAGAGACAAATTCCCAATCAGCTGATTATTTTTCCCAAACAATTGATGATCCACTCGAAGAAATCAATGCAATTAGTTAACTACTTACATGTATTATTTTTTAATCGTATTGGTTTACCGTCTTTCTTGTACCAAGAGTATATTGGTCGAGGTTGACCACTGGCCGTACATTCAATTACAACGTTATCGCCTTCGCGAACCCGATATGAGGGATTAGATTCTTCATCATTCATTATTGGTGCAACTGAACAATTCAATTAATTAATTTAGATACTAATCCAAACCAGTATATGTAATTAATCAACTAATTAAGTGGTAAAACTTACTCAAGATTGTTGAAGTATCCGTTATATTATTTGCTGTCACCGTTTTCCAAGCTGAAATACCAGGACGACCTGAGAATCAGAATTGATATGATTATCATTAATTAATCAACCTTTTAGATTGTGATTAAAACTGTAATCAAGGATAATTAGCGAGTAATTTAATTATTTGATTAATTGTATTGTTTTGATGATTACTTTTCTCTCTCTCTCTGTCATTGAGTTTTTGTTTCAATTCAACAAGATTGATCATCTATCTGATTATTTGTTTTTCTTTACTTCTAAATGTTTACAATTAAGTAAGTTGATCATCGTTAATGATGTTGATTAACACTTTGATTAATCGTAACAATTAAACACCATCATTGTAATATAATTAATCAATCCATCCTTCAACTAACCTAATCAATTGTTAACAACAATCAAGATCAATCAGTAAATTTCATCTTATCAATGGCAAATAAAAAAGGTTTAAAATGTAAACAAAATTAACTAATCAAAAGTTGACAGTTTTTTACATTCAAATGAATTAACTGTCAGTCAATGTTTAATTATCACTTGAATCAAAAACAATCAAACAAATCAAAGTTTTCAATTTACTAATTGAATTAGTTTATTTTTAAAGTAAACAATCAACTTACCTGGTTCACCAGGTTTACCAGCCACACCTTTTTTACCTGCGGGTCCTCGTTGTCCTAATAACGATTATGAAACAATTAATTAGTCCCATGATTACACAGATAATAGTTAATATTAATCATGATGATGAATTGAAATCGTTAATGACAATAGGAGGATATGGAAGGGACAAAATATAATTGAATCGTATTAATAGCCTAAGGCTATAAATGATATCTATCTTATTTTGAAGATGATAGTTTTTCACATGATGAATAAAAAAGTTCATTATGATTCAGACGAAAGGAATGTAACTGTGAATATTACAAATAAACTCACCCGGTGTACCAGGAGGGCCTGAAGGTCCTTTCTCACCAGGAGTACCAGGTAAACCTGTGGAAATGAATTTAATTTGATCAAATATCAAATGGACATTTAGTTGATCATTGAAGAGATACAATGATCGATATGTGTTTGAAAACGTTTCTTTAAACATCTCATTCGTTTGAATTTCCATGAGAAAAAAATGAAATTTTCTTCTCAATGAAATTCAGTGAATTGTCTATTGCTCCAGGCAAATATTTCAATTCCATAGGAATAAGAATCAGGTTTACTCTTGAATCTGATGAATTATTGATTATCTTCATCTATCTCATCTCTCTCTCTCTTTCTCTCTCTCTCTCTCTCTCTCTCTGATTTCTGTGAACTTATTGTATTCGATTCGTTGTTTCTTCATGTAAATCTTTTTGATTAATACCCTAAAGTTCATGATAATGAATATATCAAAAAAATATTCAATCTGTAAGGATAAGATGATGAAGATAATAATAATAATAATAGAGGAATAGAAGATAAATCTTCTTAGTGAATATGAAGTTACTATGAATGAGACATTGGAATGATGAAGATGAAGATAAAGATAAAGATGATAATAATAATGATGAGAAGAGAAAGAAAAAGGATGAAGAACTGTAATTAGAATTGTAATATAAAAGGTAATGGGAAAGATTTGCGTTTCTATTTCCTTTCGTCTCAGATTATCATTGATTTTATGTTCGAAGGGAAAAATGTCTAAATCTGAAAACTCGAAGACAGCTCGAAAATGAGAGACACTAATTAACTGAGTATTATAAATAAAGAGGCCAAAAGTTAAAGATAATTATGATACAAGTTAATCCGGATGAAGATGGAGAAAAGAGAAAGTTAAATTCATGAGGATTCATGGTGAGAGTTATCATGGAATAGGAAATAAGGAAGAAAAATTCTCACTCAAGAAGAGAAAAGAAGAGAAAAACTTATTTAGACAATTGAATAATCCTGAATATTACCTGCTGATATTATCTTTTAGAACTTTCATTTACAGGGTAAACTCAGATTCCAAGTTGACATGAGAGTTCAAAGTTCTGAGGGAAAATATGATATTCACTTGTTATCAAAAAAGTTAATACTCTTAATGTAACTTTGAGAAGGATTTTTATTCTCTATCATTTATTATTCTTATTTTCTTCAATAAGAAAAGAATTAATCTTTCAATTGTTTCTCGATAAAATGTCAAATTATACTACGATAATTACCATTGATTCCATTGGTTCCATTAGTTCCTGGTTGACCTGGAATACCATCCTGTCCATCTTTACCATTCTTACCGTCTTCACCATCTCTACCGGGTACACCATCGAGTCCTGGTTCACCAGGTAAACCTTCACGTCCGTCAAGACCAGCCTCACCTTCAATCAAATCAACAAACAATTAGTTGAATATCAAAGCTTTCCAATCATATATATTGACTTACCTGGTTCACCTTTTGGTCCAGTTGCACCTATGAGTTGTTTTGTTCATGAAAGAGAATTGAATTAAATTGAATTTAATTGTTTGGCTTTGAATCAATTGAATTAATCAAACCTTGAAGTCCTTGTGATCCAACAGGTCCTTTTGGCCCTTGGTGACCTCTCTCACCTTTGTCTCCTCTTTCACCTTTTTCACCGGCAAATCCTGGAAAAAAAATGACCACCAAAAAGCTAATCAATCTTAATTTTCACCTCAAATTGATTAATTATTAACATGAACATTATCACAAATTAGCCAGTTAATCATTTCCATTCAGTGTACACATTACATAATAATCTTTAAGAAAACATTGATGAAAGTTGATTAAATTGTTTCACCTTCGTTCATAATAAATTCAATTACTCAACAGAATGAGGAAAATACCAAAAAAAAACTCTATTCTAATGCTGATGAAAAAAATAATTCAAATGTTTGCCAATATGAATTCATCAGTGAATTTCATCACCATGATAATCACATGGAAAAATAAATCATAATGAAATTACATTTGTATTTATATCTGAAAATATAGTAAAATGGAAAACTATGTCAAAAAAACTCCAAGGAAAAGTTCAATTCTCATGATTTTAGAGCTGATTATTAGTCTAACAATTTATATTGAAATGTTGCTGATGAAAATAATTCAGATCTATGATGAAAACTGAATAAAAAGGTAAAATTTCATGAGAGTATTAAAAAGATATCCATTGTTGTTTCTGTGTACTCAGAGTTCTGAAAACCTTTTCATCATTTGCAAAGTGAAACATTCAACAATTGTGATCAGAAACAATTAGATATTAAATGTAATTCCTATGTGAAAATGATAATCTAGTTTGAGATTGTTTTTTTGTAAATCACAATTTGATTGCTTTTTTTCACTCTCTACATGTAATAGTTACTTGGATAATCAATGAAAAACAATTACAATTCATGACAATTACCCTCATGTTAAGCTGATTTAGATTATTATTATTATTCTTGAACAGAAAATTTGATTTTCAAATGAACTTCAATCGAGCAACTCTCAATGGAAGATAATTCTGATAGATTCTAAATATAATCTCGATAGATTCCTATTTCCAATTGAAGGTTTATCAGTTTATCCTTTTCCTTGCAACTTTCCTCTTAACATGTAAATATAATCCTTTTTTTATTCATCTTCATTGAGTAAAATCTATTGATAACTTTTACATGATATAAATTCAATCGTATGAAAGTAAATTGACAAAGTTTCGAGTTATTTTCATGGTAAAATTGATTTGACTCTTTCCATTGGTCATTATCAACCAGAATTACATTTGAATGTCGGTGAAATATTGAAAATATTTGGTCTACTTATCCATTTCAATATTGAACCTCAAATCTCAAGCTGATTGAGAATTTCACTCTGAGTTTCATGATAAGATCATGAATGATGTGTTCATATAATATATCATTCTATCAGTAAATAATAAGCTCTTGGGTTTATTTGCATTGATTCAATGTTGGAATGATAATAAACTGAGATGGAGTTTTTTTTTCGAGTCTCGATAACATTTCTATTGATTTTTTCCCCAACGATTCTTAATATATATTCACTTACCCTGTTCCCCTGGTGGACCTGGATTACCTGGTTTACAATACTGTTTAGCTGAAAGGCAATACTCTTCTAGAACCGGAAGCTGTTCCCATGGAAAATGTTGAAACGAGAAGGAAAAAAAAAGGAAGCAAAATTAAATATCTATGAATGTTATTTCCGTTCTGTCTTTTGTTTTCAACTTTTTTTTTTATTTTCTAGACATGATCAACATTCACTTTGGAATAAAATAAATACAATTACTGTGAGTGATAAAAAAAAATCATCAGAAATAACACCATGAAACTTATTGATAATTTCCATGTCTTTCATATCAAGCTTTCTTCCTGAAACACTGAACTTTTTACTTTCATCCTAATAACTTATCCTAATAAGTTTGACATCAGGTTTATCTAGAGTATTATCAGGATGATGATGATGATGAAAACTGATGATAATGCGATAATAATGATAATGATGAAGATGAAAACAAGGTATTAACATCAATGGATTTTTTTTCCTGCTCATCAATGATAATCATGATGATGATGATGATGATGGTTTCTCAAGATTAAAAGGCGAACCATAATGTCAATTTGTTATCATGCTAACCAAAGGTGTTATTTTTGATTCCATACAAGGTAATGTGTATTAAATTAATACTCCAACTTTAAGTAAGGTTAAACTTGGAAAGGATAATAAAGTTACCTGTGTTAAAATTAGAAGATGATCAAATAGTGTGACCTAAGTACAATTCCCTTGAGTAGATGAGAAAAATGTTATTCAATGAATTTGTTCAGTAAAAGAAAAAGAGAATCATAATGATATCCACTATGAACCTAAACCATGGAGTGAAAATAGTAATAATAATAATAAGAAACTATTACAATTTCGAGGCATTCATCTTGGTGTATAGTTCTAGAACCATAAAGTAAACATTGAAACTCGGATTGTATCAAGGAAAATGCTACAACTAATCAATTGAATATAAAGATAATGGAATTGAAATGTTTTTCCAAAACTTGAACTTATATTTTGATTCTTATTTTATCAATATTCATCTCTATGAAAGAGATCACATTAACAGGGGAAAAAATTGAGTAGTGAAAAAAATAAGTTCTGAGAATTGTAATGTTGCCCCATTTTTCACGATTATACCTGTAGCTTTGTTACCTTTTGATTTCTTTGGAATATATTTACATTCAATTTGATGATAACTTTTATCAGATGATTAGAATGACAGAATTTTCATTTTTTTTGTCTTATCGAAATTCATACTTATCTGTATGTAAAATACATCTAAAGGAATGGCTGATATTTGCTTTTGCTTCCTCTGGAAATAAATACCTTTTCAGTGATCCATGAACCATGTAACTTTTTACTCATGTTATGAATACATTGAGAAAACAAATATTTCTCCCTGAACAACATCATGTTACCTGTGTTTTTTTTGCTTGTTTGTTTGAAAGGTTATCATTAAAGTAATACATACACATAATGATCTAGTAGATTCATATACTAGATCATTATTATTATCATGAGCATCAACTGAATCGTATGATCAAAAAATGTCACTAAAGCTTTTTGTACACTTTATCATGATGTCTATCGTTATGAACCGGACACGGAAATGATGCTGTTTACCTTTTACATTGAGCAGGAGAGAGAGAGAGAGAGTTGGCTGATCAAATAGAGGGTGAAAATTTTATCATCAATTCTTTATGCTTATCAATTTATCTTTGTCATATTTCATGATAATAATAATGAACATTCATCACGGATTCAGTTGATGCCTTAGGATTATTGTTATTATAATCATTACCATGGTGTTTTTGAGATGAGCTATTTGAATTATTGATATTCAGTTGAATTGAAACATTTCAAAAGTTTATTGGGCCCAATGGAAATGGAAATTATCATGTATTTATTAATACAGATTCGATATTTTCAGAATATTCTGAATCATATTCAGTGTTTGTTTTTGTTTATTTTTCTTATTCACTTATGCATTCAGTTCATTCAGAATCTATGATTGAACAGCTCAACTTAAGATATTATCATGAAAGTAATGATGGAATAAGTAGAAAAATAATATTATTTTTATCATGAATTTAGAGGAAAAATTTTTACAATAGTAACAATGTATTAATAATATTTTCAATAGATTTTATCTTATTTTTGGTTCATCAGAATCGGATTTATCATCAGTGTTATGAATAAACTCAAGTATTTTAATAGAATCAATTGAAGTTTTATCTCACTTGTGACAATGGTAATTGTTTATTCTGAATTTCATGAGTAAATCAAATACAGAATCAAAGTTATCATCTTAATGTGACACTTTGAGTATTTGCTAGTTAATAGTAACATTTAAATTGATTCATTAGCTTGTTGATTGTCTTAATCATTGTGATTGTTTCTCTTTATGATAAAAGTATAAGTAAAATTCAATTGAATAAATCATCTTTTTCTCTTGCATCTTCAATAATTCTGTCAATATCCTCAGGGGATTTTTCCTTGTTCTTCATGAAAACAGTAGAAAATTTAAACTCTCTCTTCCTGTAGATCAATCAATCGATTGGTGCGAGATGATTCAAGATTCAGGAAAGTTTAATGTTCGAAAAAATCAATCAAGATCACCAAACAGAATATTTTCTCTCACAAATGAATCAATTTTCTTATTTCATGTTAATATTTATCTTTCTAAGAATTTTAAACTCTTTTTCCATTCTTTTTGTTCCAGAGAAAAAGTCTCAATCAATAGATTTTAAATGTCTAATCAGCATTTGCACAAACTTAAAATTACAGTTAACCTTTGATTCAAATGTTGAACTTTCATCTAAGTTAATTATGACTATGCTAAATCAGAAATTAATTCTGTATCAACCTTCATGTTTCCAATTAATGACACACGCCAAATGAATCAGAACCAAAATCGCCCTGAATACTTTTTGGTGCCCTAGACTCAGAGTAGATTCATGAATTAATCCGAGGAAAAAACTAGAACCATGATTTAAATTTCATATGACGAAGATTCCAATAAATTTGATCTTGAAATTGTCTTACTAATACTACGATTGAAAATTTGAATATTAAAACTTTAAACAGAGAAACAATAACTATTGATACTTGAGACTAAAAAATCCATTATACAACATATTTGCTTTTCCATCACATGAAATTCAATTGTTCATCTACTTACATGATGTAAATTGATGAGAAATTGTTATGAATTGATGCTCAAAATTTTATAAGAAATTTTGTTTTCTTTTCCATCATAATGAAGATGAAAATTTGTGGGTAAAAGATGAGGATGGAGAGTGAAAGATGTGGATATGTTTAGATGAAAAGATGATGGTGAAATTGAAGAAAAAGTGAGAGAGTAATTCTGTTGGCTGATGAAAAGATTTTCTAATGAAGATAGATTAGAGTTGAAGGAGAATTATGATGAAAAAAAGGATAAGGAAATGGATGGAGAAGAGGAGAAGATGGAGAGTATGATGAAACTATGATAAGATGAGATTTCATCTTTTTCTTTTCTTTCAGTTTAATCGATAATTACATTTCTGTAATTACTAGTTCCATCTAAGTAGTTAGCTAATTGTTAACAATTTGTAATGATGATCAATGTTTTCGTTACTGTTTTTCTTTGAACTTTAATTATTTTACGAAAAAAGTTTTCTCTTTTTGGACTAACACAATTTCCTTTGATGAAATCCTAATGATGTTGATGAATTAAATGATTAGACTTTCAGTTTAAAATAGGAAGAGACAATTAGCTGAAATAATTAAGATGATAATTAAGTGTTCATCCACGACGATGGTAATGATAATTGACAATCTAAAAACTGTACAGACAAACTAATCACACTAATTGCAATTGCTTAGGTTTCTTTAAGCTTATTTATCAATATATTAGTTGTAAATGAGTCTTAAATGATTAAGTGAAACTGATTAAACTAATCACAACATTGATCAAGGTGATTAATTGTGTAAATCTTTTTTAATATTATTCGATTGGTTTCTGAGTGAAGATAAGTTTCTAATAAGATCCATGATTTTGTTCAGAACTTTTTTTTTCGTTCAGTTTCAATTTACAGTTGGTTGATTATCTCAAAGACTCTGATGATTATGTTATCTTCATGTTCACCTTCCTTGGCCTTATCATCATCATCATCTCCATCATCACTATGAGTTTTTATTTCTCGAACTTTGTTTATCTTGAGAGCTTCATGTTCATTTTTCATTCTCCATGTGGTGAAAAAAAAGATCGAATATTTTTCTGAAAGAATAAACTTTTTTCTCTCCTTCCAAGTTTCGAACTTTTTCTTTCATGAATTTCATCATCTTTCTCTGATTAATTTCTATGTGATCCGAGTTCATCATCACTTTTATCATCAACTATCATCAAGATTGTTTACAGAAGGAGTTTCTCTTTTTTTTCATCTTCCTTTCACCTCCTCAGATGATTTTCCATGAAGAGATCATGAAAAAAAAAGATCAATGAAACTGATCCTGAAATATTTTATCTTTTTCTCACTTTGAGGTAAAAAGTGTAACATGTAATTCGAGCTGATTTTGTTAGTAACTAGTTGGATAAATTTCTTGAGAAGTTATCCATTAATTCTGTAAGTTGAGTAAATGAATTTGTTTTAACCTGTTGAACCTTTTTAGAAGGATTTAGTTAGAATCAAAGTAAAATTAAATAAGAAAAGTATCAAGGAAAGAAAGCAGCACTTATCTGTATCAAATTACGAAGTATAACCTGAAGGGTATTCAGATTTTTACTGAATCTCTATGATGAGATTTGAAAACTTTGCATCTTTTCAACTAAAAGGTTACCAAACATTTTTATTATCAATGTAACAAGATTATCCCTTACTCCATCACAAGAGATGATAATGATGAAAGAAAAGTCCTTTGAGATTCTGATACCGAACTCACCTTAATGCGAATTCAGATTCTTGACTCGATGAAATGATATTATACCTCCCATGTGAGATAGCAGGAAAATTTTCAAGGTTCAAGGTTGAATCCCATAAATGGCATAAATTACAATAGAAACAACAAGAGAGAGAGAGAGAGAGAGAGAGATTCTTAGGAGTG